ATGTTTAAGCTGGGGGCAAGTACTGTGTTCTGAGGCAAGCTCCTGTGGGATCTGCTGTGCCTCCTGTGGGATCTGCGTGCCTCCATCATCCCAGGACTCATCCTTCTCCTGCCAAAGTAAGCCAAGCTGATTCCTTGTCCCCATTACTGCATTCAGCAAGAAGTGTGCACCAGGGCTAGTGGTGGCCTATCCCAAACTTCATGAAACAGAGCGGGCTTACCTTTATTTCTTTCAACTTGGCAGTTGGTTCGTTCCTACAAAGACAGTCACTGAGTCATCCTCAGCTGCTGCCTGGGCCTCCTCCGGCGCTGCCTGGGCACATGCTCATCCAGGCATGGAAGGAAGGCAGGCACAAGGACAAGGAAGTGGCCTCCTCACCAACTGCAGAATCATCATCTGAATCAACTTCATACACCTGGCCACGCAAACAATGAATACCAGACTTTGGCAGCCCAGGGCCCCTGCCTTGTGCCTCTTGGCCACAGGCATACTCTTGGCAGCAGGTGCGGAAGGCCTCTTCTTGGAAGCAGGCTTGGTGGCCCTGGTGGCTGACAGTTTGCCACCAATGGGTGGAGGGCCAGTGGCTGGCTGACGCAGGCCAGAGGTGGCTTGCTGAGGCAAGCCTGAAGGCCTGCTGGCCTGATGCAGGCCTGGGGGCCTGCTGGCCTGAGGCCTGCTGGCCTGATGCAGCGAAGGCTTGCCGGCCCTCCAGGCCTGGCTCTCCACAGCCACCTGACTCTCCACATGCTACAACACTGAATGACAAGTGACAAGCCACATGTGCCAATGCCAGGCCGTTGACTGAACAAGGGATAGCACATGCCCCACCATCAGTGGCTAAAAAGTAAGTGTGTCATTAAAATTCTGCCACACACACACACACATACATGCACACACGCCTCGCCTCCTCAAACTGCTCCTCCGCAGGCGGCTCCTCATACTCCTCCCCATGCTCCTCTTCCAGATATTCCTCTGCCTGCATTTGAAAGGCACCAAAAAGCAAGCACCTGAGACATGCCAAAGCCTCTTGCTGCTCCTGCAATGCTAAGGCTCCAGTCCAGGAATTCCAGGCCTTTTGATGCTCCTTCCAAGAAGCACCCAAGAAACACCATCAAAGCTGTCAGCCAGTCTCAGTGTTTAACAGACAATGAATGATTGCTTACTTCTTCTCCCCAACACAAGATGACAAGGAACCATGATGATGATGATGATGATGATGATGATGATGATGATGATGATGATGATGATGATGATGATGATGATGATGATGATGATGATTAGATGATGATGATGATGATGATGATGATGATGATGATGATGATGATGATGACGGTGGTGGGGGTGATGATGATGATGATCTACTGAATCCCGTTCCTTTGCCTGTTGAGGCCGGGCAGGAGGTTGATGACCCATCAATGCCTTCTCCTTAGCCAAGCAGGACAAGGCTTCAGAATTGTGCCCTCAGCAAAGAAGTTCCTAGATAGGCAAATGCCAGCAGCTGAGAAAAGCACCAGCCGGTTCCTGGCTGCTCGCACTTGATCCTCAGTTAGCCCCCACACACACGCGCATTCTCTCTTTGGCACACGCACATTTATGACTGTCATGTTCTTGCCAATTTAGTCTGGCGTCTCTGGCAAGCTGGCAGGGTGGCTTCCTTCTTGTGCCAACCTCATTCTGGTTCTGAATGATGTAGAGGTTGTTCACATACATGGCTGAAAAGCTGCCACAGCCAACAGCCCTTGAGCCTACACCTGCTGCATCACAGAGATCAAGCAACTTGCTTGCAGCAGCCCTGAACCACAACTGCAACCACATCTTGCTGGCAAATCCAAGAAAATCAAGAGGCATCAGGCTGTAAGAGAAGTGCAAGATTGCATGGGGGAGCTAACGATACAGAGCTTGCCAAAGGATGACGGCATTCACAATGGCACATGAGTTTTGATGAAAAGATAGCCCCTTACTGTTACCAGCAATTGTTCCTTGTCAAGACATATAGAACCCCCTGCAATAACATACACCCAAAATCAAGGCGCTTGGAATGCAAGGCGCTGTCGGCTGGCTTGTCTGGGCCCAAGGCAGGTTGGATGTCCTGGCACACCTCCAAGGGCAGCAGGCCTCAGCCAGAAAGCGGCCAGGGTGACAGGCAGTGAGTCAGGGTTCCCTGCACCAAGCCCGTTTGGGTAGCAACTTACAGTTACATCAACTCAGGATTAGCTCACAAAGCATGTTCAGTGCACTGAGGATGGTCTGAGGCACCAACAGGCAAGCAACCTGAGCATGGCTGATGGAACCCCTCATGAAGAGGCTAGGGTGGGTTGCAGCCATGCCTTGGAAAGCCAAGGCATGGAGGGGCAAGGGTAAAGGATAGCTTGGTAGGTCAGGGGAGCTCAAGCTTCTGATTGCAGAAGCACTAGGCCAAACAGCATTTTGTTGTTGACATCAACGCTCCATTGGAATATGTTTTTGCAGCCATTTCACAATGACAGATTGTTTATGGACCAGCCCATGGGTACTGTCAGAATTTGAGCCTTGGCTGGGTGGCAGAAAAGCAGGTCAGACATCTCACCTGTGGGCTTGAACGTTTTCTTGTTGGAAACAGCTGCCATCAACCACACACACACAGAGTGTTCCCTGATTATCCACTGGGTTGTCCCTGCATCTTTGGTGCTGATTGAATTTCTTGGGCGGGACACTCCAAGACATGAGGAGCAATGAGTGCCCTGAGGGCTTAGCAAAGTTCCAGAGAAACAGTTGGCAGTTTCAAAATGCCTTGTGCAATACTGGAGGCTACCCAAATTCAGCAGTGGCCAGAACAGTACATTGCATTCACTTAGTGCTGTTTGGAATGGCATGTTAGCCCAGCCCTCTGCCCAGCCAGCCTTTGCACTGCCTAGAAAGCTGTGTGCAGACCTCAGTCAGACCTCAGTCAGTGTCTGAACCTTAGTATGCAGCAGGCTCCGCTCTGCTGGGACCTTAGTGAACTAAGCCTTAGTATTGCAGGGTTTGAGCCTTAGTGTCCTGCTGCCCCTTTTTGCGGCTGCTTTTATGGTTGACGGCAAGTGTGCAAATGCAGCATGGCTGCAAGTGAAAGCATAGAGCTGACTGAAGCTTCATTTCAATTTGACTTTTGGTGCTATGGTCAAATGGAAACTTAGGACCAGAAATTTCTGAACGCCACTACCCAGACACCTTGCAGCCTACACTTTGCCCACCTGCTCCCTGACAACTATACATGTCCCATGCTTGCAAAGTGTTCTTGTACATCCCTTCCTGTAAATCCAGGGCTCAAACAACCATGTGATGCATTTAAGATTAAAATTCACCATGAAGCTTTGGGATTCAGTTATTGCTGCAAGTAATCTTGTGCTTCAATGCTGCAAAGAGAGCCAATCACTATTTAGCTTCATGATGTTGAACAGCAAGTTTGAAAAAGGTGGCCCCAATGCGAATGACATCTCAGGGGATGAACTAGCAGGTCCTGTGTTTTCCAAATGGTTGTGCCCTCTGTGCTGGCAAGTACTTTTCAGTTGTTACAGTTCTAAAGCAAAGCAGGGGTATGGACCACTAGGCCATTCAATATTGCAGTCTTGGTGCAGGCTAAAGTGCCCCATGACCATCCTCCCTGTCTGGCCAGGCCTGCTTGGTCATCTTTACCACGTGCCCAAAAAAAAGGTGCGCTTTTCAGCGCTACCCGCTTTTCAGCGGTGCCTATGTTTTTACCCTCCCTCCCTCCCTGTGAACTGCTGCTCCAAGTATTCCATGAAGTAGTCCGAGCCACAGTGCAGGGGGTGGGCACAGGGAAGGGTTGGGATGTGGGCACAGGGAAGGGTTGGGATGTGGGCAGGCAAATGTAACTGTGGGGGGGGGGACATCCTTGGGGAGTGGGAAGTGAGACAGTTGGAGGGCATGTGGCACATGAAGAAAGGACACCTTGGAAGTGGGAGGGTGGGTGGAAGTGGGAGGGTGGGAGGGTGGAAGTGGCATGTTGATGAGGAATGATTGGCATGCCCTGCCCCCCCCCCCAACCTCAAATCATGGGCAAACACTGGTATCTTAGAATGTTGGTGCCTGTATCTTAGTTCCATTTCTTCTGGCCCTATAGCTTTCAGCATTCAGGGGAAAAATCCAACCCTAAGACCCGCTGAAGGCTCCCAGCCTCATCGGATCTAAGCACTTGAATCGTTAGCGCTTGAAACGTTAATTCCATCGAAATGAACTCATTTCGTAGTGCGCTTCACTCGAGTGAGACTGCGTCTTCGATTGTAGTTTCCTCAACCAGGGTAAAATACAGAAATTAAGAGCGCCCTCCCCGCCGCGCGGCTAATTAATTCTTCGGGGAATCCGGTCTTTCAAAAAAAGGGCCCCGTGATTCACAACTGGGGGGGGTTATTCATCAGGGGTCCACGAGTTACTTCAAAAGGGCCCCAGTGAAGCTGCAGCTGTTGGATTGACCCGCAGGAGTCCCAGTGGCCTTGCGGGGGCAAAATTTTCGGTGCTCAGGCGTTTCGCTTCGGTTCATGTTTTAGTAGGGCTTCCCCCCCCCCCCAAAAAAATGATGTTTCTTTGCTACCCTACTAAGGGTTGGACAGTTACATGTTGAGCCTGAAGGTGTCATTTCCGAATGGATTTGAATCCCTTCTTGTGGGCAAATGGCGATTTCCCACCTCCAAGAGCCCTTCGGGTAGAGGGCAAATGGATCTACTTCCCCAGCCAGGCTCCAAACGAGGGAAGCTGATCTTTCAAACAGTTTGGTTACAGGAAAATCTACAGGACACGGGCCCCCAAAACACCCTAATTAGATTAGCTTCTTTCTGTTTGTCTGTTTGATGGATGTCCTATTTACCTATACAGGACAAGGCCCCCAAAACACCCTAATTGGATAAGTGTTTTTTCTTTTTTCGGTAGAAGGTCCTCTTTTCCTGAAGCCTTTGAATCCCTTAGGCTGTTTTCCGGCGGGATTTCCCAACTCAACCCTTCGAATCTTCCCTTCGCAGCCGCTCATGGGACTTTCCCGCTGGCTCAGGGTGGGCTTCGCGGCGGAGGGCATCAATGGCGAGTACCGCGAGAGCCGCCTGAAGGAGAAGAAAAAGTCGGCGAGCGCCGGAAACTTTGGGAGGGCTGGTTTAAAAAAAACTCACTTGAGCTCATGGACTTTGAGAAGCGTTTTGAGTTGGGGCCATTCTTTTTTGTGGTAAGCAAAAGCTTCAGGCTTGCGGGACGCCGATCCACTCCGGATGGGGTCCCCTAGTTTTGCGACACGAATTTAATATGCGTTGCTACTGGTCTCATGTGGGTGTTTTATTTCAGGTGCCCGAGTTTGGAACTTGTTTAAAGAAAAGCACCAGGAAACCTGCACATCAGAAGGGTACCGTGCGAGAGCATACCGTGTAGCCTAACACACCTGACCAATGAATTCTTCGGTTGCACCGCTTACGAACGTGAAATCGCTACTGTGGAAATCCTGCACCAACTAAGAAACGGCATGATGAGTCCCTTGAGTCACGTTTCGGGTTTGGACCATGTTGGGATCCGTCTCCAGAAAACCTGCGAGTCCCAAAAAACACAGCTGGCTTTTGAAAAGAACGATGGGTGAAAAGGATGGGAAAGGAATCAAGCCCTGGAAAAAAATGGTTTTTGCAAGCATCCACAGTATGGCTCCCTCGATTGATGCGCCTTGCTTTGGTTTAGGTAAAAGCAACTGCGAAGTTGGACGTTCCTTTGGCCAACTCCTTCCACCGATTCGCCGGGCCGCCGGGCCGCCTGTGTTCCAGGAGCTCATGGTGAACGACCGGGAGATCTACCTGGAGAAGGCCGACTCGCCCCTCAGACGGGAAATGAATCGAGACGATCGGGGAGACACGGACCGTATGTTTTTGGTTTGTTTTTTTGTGAGGGGGGGGGGGTCATTTGCCATTTATTTGGTGAAGAATATGTGTGTTTTTTCCCCTGTTGGTTTTAAAGGGAATCTATCACTACTGGGCATATTTTTATTTTTCCCCGGGAGCTTATGCAAATGGAAGGTCATAAGTTGGGGACCACCCAAAATGCGACTGAGGTGCCTGTCCCTTTAAAACTGAGGTCCAAGGGACGGAGTCTGGCTGGTCCCTTGTGTCATGGCTAAAACGACCTACCCTCCCTTGTTTTCTTGGACGTCCCTTTAAAATTATTCCCAAAGAAAATGCAGGCGTGTCGTTTTTGAGGGTACCCTTTTTCAGGGTGGTTTTAAAGGAGAACCAAACAGAAACTAAGCATTTGTGGGGTACCCCTATTTCAAGACACCCATTATTGCCCTCGAAGAAGACAAACTCACAAGTGCTGGTTTTCCAACCCTTGACAAGGATTTGCACATCGGGTTGTCTCAAAATAGGATATGGAACACTCCAAGCAAGCCTGATGCGGTGGCAAAAGTTAGCCCACAAAGACTGTGTACCTGGTGGTGCCTATTTTTCCAGCTTGGGGCAACACGCTAGGTCCCCCCGGGTCCCCCAGTAGTGCCCTTTCTCACCCCTTTTTTGGTTGGGAGGGTTCCCTATTAAAATAGACTACAGAAAAAAAGGTACCCTTATTATAAATTCTAACCTCTCTACTGACCTAGTCACGGGTACGGAGATATTGCCCATCTCCGTTGGGGTTCCTTTAAACCTACAAATCTTGCGCCCACACGACGCCTCACACTGAGGACGGAAATGAGGCACTTCCTGTATTGGTCCAAGGCGCGCATTTTTTGCGCGGGCGGGGCCCTGTGAACGACACGCGGCGCCCATGTTGGGCGCATCTAGATGGTCGGATTTCAGTTTTCCTTTTGGTTTCCCTACCAGCCACTGTTAGCAGCAAAAACACACCCAGATCACTTCTCTCAAGTTCCGCATTTCCATGCCGCATCTATCGTCCAGAGGTGTGATGAATCCTCTCTCTGAGCTTTTTGGCCACTGGTGGGGGGGGTCATTTCCACAGACCAGAGCTTTGGCGATGTCGATCTACACTTTTTGGGAGAACTCTTGGGGAGGGGGGCAAACCACTTTCAGACCGACCAAAGCCAACTGTCGCCCAAGTGATCCCAACCATGAGGAGCCTCTACTTTCTGGCAACGAATGAACCAAGCCCGTTTGCCCTTTCGGTGTGTTCTTGATCCGGTTAAAGCTCTGCTTGCTTTTTGTAGCAGTCACCCTTAGTCCCTCGCAGGCCGCGTCTTGCGCTTTCAAGTGAGGCGAAGCTTTGCTTCATTGCGCAAGGGCGGGCAGAACACACGCTGCGCTTTGCGCACAGGACACTCTACGCCGCTCGGTTCCCCACGGAGAACCTCAGTCCCTTTGAGCCCTAGCACTTCCGCATTCGTGCTATGCCAGCGCTGGAGCGCAGAAGACGGGACGCTCAAGCTCTCCCGCCCGACACATTCCTGTGAGGAACTCGAACACATGTGCCTGGAAGGCACTCAAGACCACGTGGCTGGGAGGCACTCGAACACATGGAGCTGGCATGACAGTGTGCTGCCAGGTGACATGGTTGTCACAGCTTCCTTTGTCGCACATTGCTTGTAAGTAGCATTTTGGGGTTGCAGTGTTGTGTTTCCCTGTTTTTTAAGCAGGGTTGAAGCTGTGGCCAGTGCCACCCGTGTCCCCACACATTCCCCGTCCTTGTGGTTGTAGTAGGTCCATTGCGGTTCGTGGCAGTCAGGATTGCCCCTTAATTTGTTCGCATGTGTTGGTTCAATGCCGCCTGCATCTCTGGGCTACAAAAGGAGTCCCTTTGGAAGTTTGAGCCCCTTCGCTCGTGTTCACTTTTATGTTTTTCCGGAAGACAAACTTAAATGTTCAGACTTTTGTTGGCCCATCCACTCCGGAAGTGAGCAGTAGAGAATTACTCCAGGGGTTCTGGATTAGGAACAACACTCAGCTAGTTGACATAGAACTCACTGAAAAGCCGCCGCTAGGTGGGCACATCTCCTATGGACATGCCGCGCATGTTTTGGTTTCGCCTTAAAGGGCGTCGTTTCAGACCCCGAATAATTCGCACCCAGCAGCCTACCGCGCATGCCCCAAATATTGCAAGTAAGTAGGGAAGGGAAAACATGAATCCCAGCAGCAGAAGTAGAACCCAACAGTCAAACAACCCTGACAGCCCACCCACCCAACAACCCAACAGCCCAACAGCCCAACAGCCCAACAGCAAAAAGCAACAACAGCCCAACAACCCAGCAAAACAACAGGGAACAAGAAGAAAGGGAAGCCCTGCAAAGTCAACGATGGTGCTGGCTCGTTTACTTGCAATGGCGGGGCATCCAGCGTAGGTGCAAAATATCAACCAATGCTGACCCCCACTGAGTCTTGAGGGTGGTCTCTTTTAGCCGGATGAATTTGTGGGAAGGTTTGCTAGTCTGGGGTCAACACGTTTAAAGGGAAACCAAAAGGAAGCCAACCCTTTTCTGGGGGGTTCTCTCATTTTAAGACACCCCCGGATGAAAAATGAATACTAGTCTTTGCGGGGCAGTTCGACCAGACCCGAACCTATGCCACGCAGACCGAAGCCTCGAATACGTCGAGTTTCGCAGGTGGAGCAGCGATGGAAGGGCACTCTCTATAGCAACCTGCAGCGAATTCAGGCGAGTCCGGCCGGGGGATTGTACCAGCCCCCTGTAGCCCCTTGTACAGCACTCCGTTGTCGGATTTGATTCGCTCGCCTTTTTTTCAGATGTCCCTTTTCGATAAACCCTGTAAAAGCCTGCTAGAAAACGGGTACCCCCCCAAAAAGTGACAGACCTCAGACCCACTTGGAGGAGCAAATGGATAGAACCCAGGAAGCGCACTTGTTGATCCTCAATGGATTCTGATCCTGCGCAAGCAGCTCTTCCCCAACAGATACAGCGATTTTTGTCGTCACTCCGCCTATCCTGGATTTGGCGGCCCCAAGCTGGGGAGACTTCTACAGCAAGCAAAGGGAAACCAGAAGCAAGCAAACACGAAGACACACACACACACAGCAACCCACCCACCCCCACATGCACGCACCCACGCTGGTCTCCAATGTGGCAATGTGCATTCCGCTCCCAGGTTTCCGGAGGGAGTTAGCCAAACGGAAACCAAGCGGGGAGGGATGACTGTTGTTTTCTTTGTTTGCGAGAGCCTGTATTCACCACCCAGTTCACGCTTTGCGGATGCACTTGCATACTTGCGTAACGCGAGATGTGTTTTTTTGCTCAGGTCTGTCCGCCTGATGACCGTTGGGGCAGTTGGCCATTTTCCTGCCGTTTCCTGCGCAGGGGGGCAAGCAGTCGGCCATCATCGGCGCGCCGCAGATGGCGGATATCTTGGACTGTGCGCTCTTGAAGGGCTGGCACGCGACTTGACGAGAGAGAGAGAGAGAGGGAGAGAGTCCTGCGAAGGGACCACCCGAGTTACCCTCCCACCCTGTTCACATAGAACCTGGGTCCTGGTTGGGACCTTTATCGTTTTAAAGGGACAGGTTCCATGTTAACTGGTGGGAGGGTTCTGTAATAATTTCACGCAATCCATGCCACGCACCACAGTTCAGAAAGTATGGTTGAGACCAGAGCGTATGTTGGTATTTGCAGGGAAATCGAATCGTTTCAGGGATTGTCGGGCTTTCTTTGGTGCAAAATGTATTTCGTCTCTAGATTCCCCATTTTTTGATACCTCATCGGTATTGTCAGAAATCACCTATTTCCCAGAGTTTCCCCCATAGTCCGAGAGAATACTTCCTGAACAAAAGTGGAAGGGCACCTTGGTACAGACTTGGTTTGAACAACATGCAGGGTAAATTAATTTTAACCCCGGATCTAAGTAGAACCCCTGGTTGATTTTGATCGGGGGTGCCACCTTTCAGTGGTTGGCTTCAGACCACTTTTGGAGGGGTTTTCACCCCCCTAATGGGACGGGTTCTACTTAGATCCTGGGTCAACATTACAATGCACTCACCGGCGTAGAATCACGAATCAATTTCAGGGAGCCTTGCTGGGCGCGTTCGGTCGCAACCCAAAGCCCTTGTGAGCTCGCCCATGCGGGAGAAAAAAGCGTGGATGAGCCGCCCTTGAAAGGAAACCACCTGGATCGTCAGTGGCGATCGCTTTTTTTTCCATCTACTTTACCCCAAAAGCCAGCAACAGTGACCGAAAAAAGCGATCGCAACTTGGCTATCTAGGCACTTGCTTCAACACTTCATATGGACCTCCAAGCAGCACTCTTGGGGCTTATCCCAGGCTTGGGCAAAGCCTTACGCACAGGAGAAGCCCCTACGACCTGGGTGTAGGTGACAGCCCCTTCCCCATAGCCCGATTTTGGAGAAAAATAGTTGAGTCCGGCGCTTGCAGAGAGCCCATTTCACATTTCAGTTGGCAAGCCCGGAACGATCGCAGAGATTGGCAGGGGTCATCAAGGGTGATATTGGCAGGGGTCATCAAGGGTTCAAACGAGCAGACTGTTGGTCTATCGACAAAGCAGGCACCTCCGCTTTGCCTTTAAAAGGAATCGAAAGCTAGCCGTAGATGCAAGCAACTTTGGGCTACGGTTGCCAAGGGTCAACTAGGTCCCCCAATAATGTGTTTATCGAGCAGGCATCACCCTAAAGGGAAACTCAGACATCAGCGACCTACTTAGAGGGGTTTGTGTGTGTATGCCGTTTTGAGGGCACCATTGTTAGGTGAAGCTGGGAAGTTCCTGTCAATCGGTGGGAGTGAATTGGAAATCACAAGCTTCAATCATACGTCCCCCGGTTTTTTCTGACATACCCAACACCTTTCTTGCGTTCCACGTGTCACCTCTGGCCGCCTCAGCTCCACGCTCTCCGCGCGAGCGTGCGAGGAGTGGACCGGAGCTGACTGGGCGTACCGGCCGAACGCGGGCGTGGGAGCGCTGGGGGTGTGCTCCGAGCTGGTGGTCAATAACAAGGCCGGGTGAAATATGGGATGGGCGCGAAGTCCACTTCGCACCACCCAAGAACCCCTGAAATGATGATTCCCCTGTAAATACCAACAAACATAGGTTTTCCATGGTTTCAAAGTGGTGCAGGAGTTCATCCATCCAAAGTATGGGTGGTGGCTCAACTGGATTTTCCTGGGACTGCCCAAAAAGGTGGGTTTTCCTCTTGGTGCCCCTTTGAACCGGGAAATACTGTGGATGGTTGAAATCGAAATCCGCTTCTTGCACCACTGTCAAACGGGGAACCAGACCGTTTGCTTGGTATTTACAGGGGAATCGAATCATTCACGGGGTTTCTCAGGTGGTGCAGGATTTCGTCCATCCACAGTATGGGCGGGGGCTGGGACTTCCCCAAAAGGTGGTTTTCCTCTTGGTCTCCCTTTGAACCAACCCAAAAAGGATACCAAACAAAAAGGGAAGGGAGTTCGTGTTGCTGGTCCATTTGCTGAACTGACTATGGGTCTGTCTTGTCATTAGGGGGACTCCCCCTCCCCCCAAATGGACGTCGGTTTTTCTTTTGGTTTCCCTTTGCAACCAGCCCCAAAGAAGGTACCCTCAAAAAATGACACGCCCCACAAATGTGTGTGTGTGTGTTTCCCCTGCTGGTGTTCAAAGGGAATCTCTCACTACTAGAAATAGGTTTTACTTTTTCCCCAGGATGTATGCAAATGCTGGAAGCACAATCCACCCCGCACAGGGGCACCACCGAACAGATACACACCCTTATATCTCTTTGGATGGGGTGCCAACCATATTTGGGTGAGAACCACAAACAACATGTCTATGCTGATGGTACTCCCAAAAGAAACCAAAGGGGGGGGGGGTGATTCGGTTCACGTATTTTATCTTATTTCACAAAATGAACTGAACAGGGGACGGGAAATTGTGCTTCACCTGGGTTTTGCAAATGTGAGGCAAGCATGGCCTTTGTTGATTGCCAATCCACAAGTGTTCACGAGTTTTCGACGGCGATTTACTTTTCCCGGGCGATTTTTGCACTCGCCAGCCACCCCCAATGCAAACAGCGTTGTGTATGTGCCCTGCACCGGGTGCTCAATAGCAGCCACACCGTGGCCTTCCACATAGCTATCCATGCGGGCTTTGTGTCACCGCATGTCCCATGCGCGTCCCTTGTTTTTTTTGGTTGGGGGCGGTGCGATTCCGGCTTTAAGATGGTTCTTTATCCAAGATGGAAATTGTGATGGTTTCCCTTTGACCTACCACTTGGTTGACTTTGAAATGATTCTAGAAACACCCTCCCCATTCTTTCCAGGCGTCTTCTAAAAAACCACCCAACACCCTAGGGAAACAGTTTGTTTTTGAAAAGAACTTTGATCGAAAAGAATGGGGAATCAACCCCGAGAATAATGAGGCCATTGAAGGTACGCTTGGGAGCCAACAGGAAAAGCCACATCCAGTTGGCCACAAATCCGCTTCAATGGGACCTTCCTTTCCCCATTTTTAAGGGAGAGTAAAATCGATACGAAAACCGTTGTGCCTTTTTTGGGGGAGCTGACTCCTAAAGAAAGGCTCATTCAAATCTGTGGCATCTTTCTTTTGGGGGGGAGGGCTTTCTTGTGTTTGTTTCCTTTTTCAGGTAGCTCCTTGGCGGTTTGGAGTAATGATTTGGATCTCCCCAAGAAACGCTAAGGAAACCTAAAGGAACTCTAGGGCTCTCAACTACCCAGCCCCGTAACGTAGCTACGCTACCGGAGTAGGACCTTTGTCTCTCCTGGCGCATTTTTTAGCCCGAGGCGTTGGACAGCGTCGACGACAAAAAGAGGCGCGGACAAAAGTTGCTTTTGCTAGTGGTTTCCATTGAAGCTGCCACTTTCCCTTTGGAAAAAGAAGAGAACTGGAGGAAAGCCTGAAGGAGGCATTGGATATGATTTGTGGTGGACACCACCTTCATGGGCAACCAGGATTGATAGACCCCTCTTTGATAGGATGGCGTCGTTTGTGAGAAGCACCCCTTCACTTTTGCAGGGGCAACGCCCCCGTGCTTTCTTCTGAGAGGTTCCAACCAGATCATCTTTGGAAACTTAAACACCAAGGGGACATCAACCCACGGTATTTGTTGCGATGGAGCAAGCCAAAAATGGAACATCCTTCCAGCAAAAGGCCCAAGTCCGTAACCGCGTGCACTCCGATTTTGGAGAGCCATTTGCCGATGTTGAGTTACAGGTGCAGGGTCGAGGTGGATTCCTAGCGGAATTGTACCATCAACCTCCGGATTTATCCGGAGCGTGCCAAACAGCGGTGGTTCTCTCCCCTTTCGGGCGGCTCCTCTTGCAAGTCCGAATGACTCCGAAGCTCTCTCGAAACTTGCAGGATTCTTCAGAGAAAGGGGGTGCCTTTTCGTGATGTTACCCTTGGGTTTGAGTTTCAGGTTGGGAAACCGCAAGGAAAGCCACCAAATGTTCGAGGGTCGATTCCATCGGTTCCTAGTGATGGACGCAGTCCTGCACATTGAAACCATGGCTGAACCCAGAACGTTTGTTGGCATCATTGGGGGAGTGCCCTTGTTGGGTTCCCCAGAAGAAAGAAAGGGACCCTAAACCCTAAACCCTAAACCCTTATTCTAATCTCTCTACTGGAGGACCTAGATTCCTATGTTTGAGCTCCACCCAGCCAGCCAGGAAGCGATCCGATGAGGCGCCCCGCCGCGTCCATAGCCGGGAGGAGTTGATCAAGGCGATGGGATCGGGGCTGAGTTGCCACGCGCAGTTGCAACCGGTGGATGTTCCGCCAACTGTTTTCAATACCTTTTTTTGGGGGGAAGGCTTCCTTTTTTTGGGGGGGAAAGCTTCCTTTTTTTAGGGGGAGGGCTTCCTTTTTTGGGGGCAAGGCTTCCTTTTTTGGGGGGGAGGGCTTCCTTTTTTTGGGGGGGAAGGCTTCCTTTTTTGGGGGGGAGGGCTTCCTTTTTTGAGGGGGAAGGCTTCCTTTTTTGGGCGGAAGGCTTCCTTTTTTTGGGGAAGGCTTCCTTTTTTGGGGGGAAGGCTTCCTTTTTTGGGGGGGAAGGCTTCCTTTTTTTGTTTGGGAAGGGTTCCCGTTTTTTCCTGGATAACCTCATTTCCAACAAAAAAAGGATGCCTGAGGTCCATTGAGGGCCCCCAGGCGTGACAGGCAAGTTTCCCATTTTGTTGGAAATATCGTATCTTTTCTAAGCAGGTTTGGGGGATCAAGGGGTTGATACAAGGGAATCTCCCCCTTTATACGGGGGGGGGGGGGGTAGTCTTCGTAGTGTCTTTGTGAAGTTCTTTTGTATCACAGAAGTTGTCATTTCCCACAACCCTGTTTCTAGGTGGGTTTTCCCAATGGTCATCCCATGTAAAGGACTTTTGGACCAATCCGAACCACCAGCTAGAGGGAAGCTGATGGGTTTCCCTTTCCTTCCATTTGCCTTCCAGAATATGTTTTCTAGTTTCCCGTATTGGTTTTAGTTCATACTGGAAGTATCTGCCATAAATCCCAGTCTCATTTCAGGGTTTTCGAGCAATCCCTTTAAAGGGAACCGGTTCCCTCAAAGTGGGGCTCTCGTGTCATTGGAAACCACAAGTAAATTGATAAACTTTTGATTTGGGGAAATCCAGTGAACCCTGCAATTACTCTTTGAAGGGAAACCAAATTGACCCCCCCCCCCCAATGTAGAAGCCAACGGACAGACAGGGAACATGTGACAAAAGAATTCACCAAAGTACAACCCTCTCCCCTATTTCAAGAACCGCCGCCCGGTTCTTCCGAACTTTCCTGGAAAACGGGTTTCCTTTCAGTTCCCTTTTGGTTGTCCTTTTGGTTTCCTTCAAAGCCACCCCGAAAAAGGTACCCTCCATAAAAGCCACGCCCAAATGTACCGCCCATTTCTGTCGTTCGCAGGAGGTGTTCGCCCACTTCGACACCAACAAAGACGGCAAGCTCAAAGCCAAGGAGATGCTCGCCTTTGCTGGGAGCCCAAAACACACGCGGCCAAAGCGAATCGACCGGATTGATCTTTCGGTTTCCCCACATTAGATTCCCATATTTAATCATGGATTCCCATTTTATAATCACCTTTTATGTTCATTTCCTTTGGGCAACTGAGGATTCCTGGTGAAGGGTGGTTTCCTGATCAATCACCCCCTCCCCCCCTTTATCATGCAGGGATGTCCTCCGCACCGGGGGTTCCTTCTTCCTGAAGAATATTTGGGGGTCAATGTTGGTCCGGAGCAAGTGACATCCTCATTGCCCTCTGATCTGTGCCTAGGAAAACCGTCAAAAGAACTTTGACAAACCTCAACAAATACACAACCCGCTGCTGGACCCTGAAAACGTCTGAAATACTGGTTTGCCGCCCAAACATGGGGGAACTCCGAATTTTCCCTTTGCTTTCCATTTGCTGCAGAATCAGTTTCATGTTCCCTCGGGTTTGAAGGCAAGCTAATTGCTTCACCCCCACCCCCACCCCAAGAGAGTGGCCATTTTTCCCCCTCCCCACTATTTTTTTTGCTTCACCCCCACCCCCCAAGAGCGTGGCCATTTTTTCCTCTCAGAACTCCCCAAAAATGACTAAAATGGGTGGTGAATTCACCCACCAACCAAAATGGGATCCCATTGGTGTTGACCCACGGCCATCTGAGCTTTTCCCTCTGAACCGGATTTTCTTGCCAGAAACTCTGGGAATGGACGGGGGAAAATTCCGGAATCTCTGGGCCAACTCTGAGCCCCGGAGGTTTTGCACCCCCCCCCCCAAACCCCCCAAAAAAAAGTGGCCATTTTTGGTTTTCCCTCCAAGCTGTTTCCGGGTGTTTCCCCTCTGAACCCAGTTTTCAGCTGAGCCCCGGATGGGTTTTTCCCGCAGATCCGCCCTTTGGCGAGGCCAGCTCTGTGGGCTTCGACGGCACCGAGGAGGAGTGGCAGGAGGCCTGCGGGTGACCTGCGCTTCGATCCGATCCCCGCGCCCCTGGGTGTTTTTGTTTTGGGTGGTTGGGTGGTTTTTGTTTTGTTTGGTTGTTGGTTCGACTTTTTTGTTTGACTGTTGTTTAGGTGGTTCTTTTGGTGTTGCTTTGTGTTTGTTGGTTTGTTTTGCTTTGGTTTGGGGAAGGGGTCCTTTGATGTCTGGGTTTCTGCGCAACTGAGAAAGGTGCCATGGTCTAAGGAACCAGCCAAAACGAGGAAAAATATGCAGGTGGTTTTGACGGCTGTATGGCCAACCTCCTGAAAGGTTTTGTAGCCGGTTTCTGTGTGAGTCTGCTCCTTTTACCTAAACCGAAGCAAGGCGCATCTTTCGAGGGAGCCAACCTGTGGATGCTTGCAAAATCCATTTTGCACCACTTGAGAAACCCACATTCTCTCTCTCTCTCTCTCGCCAGGAGTATCGCCTCATTTGCGAGGGCTTGGGCCGGAGTCCTGACGAAGGCATCGACGAGGTGTCGTTCCTGAGGCTAGTCAACGAGGAGAGTCACGCTGGGAACAGGGGGCTACTGTGGGTGAGTTCGGAAACCATGCTTCTCGCACCGAAATCAGAAACCATGGTAGCCATGCGTAGGTTAGTATTTGAGGAATCGACTAATCGAATCATATCCCAGAGTCTAGGTGCTGGAGTTCGTGCGTCCGCAGTCGGAACCGGGTTGCGCGCAAGTGGTTGCAAGTTCAGGCACCTTCTTCGGGAAATCCAGAAAGGCAAGTCAGTTCATGTTTGGGTCCAGCCAAAGTGGATACATTTGGTTCGGGGGTCTCAAGCGGACGTCTGCGGATGGGCTCCCTTTACACGCATGTTTGGTTTGTGGGTTGTACTGGTTCACTGGTTTAGCTTGGTTTGTATACCCCATGTACCAGGGACGCTCATTCTATCTTTCCAAAAGGTCACATATGTTTACACCACTGAGGATAGTTTTCGAGGACAGCATGGGTTGGTTGTTTAACGCCGGAAAGCAACAACCCCTCTTTTGAGACACGCCAACCACTCTAGACCACTGTTCCTTTTCAACCGGCACGGACTTGACGAGTTGGCCCAATCCCGGAGCGGCCATCAAAGCTACGGAGGACACGGATGATGGCTGCTATTGCTCCGACAAGGAGCGGATTCCAATCCGTCGCCGGGCAACGTCTCTCTCGCCTCCCTGTAGCCCGAGGTCAATCCTTTGATCCAAGTCGAACTCTTACTTTAGGTGTTTGGAGGTGTGGAGTTGCAAGATGTGACGAAGATGGTTCAGAGGTTCCTTTGAAAGCACCCAGTTGCCATGGGCATGGCTCATGCTATCAAATGGAAAGCTTGCAAGGGAGATCAAGGCAGCAGGTTTGAGACCCTGTAAGTTGAAACCAGTTGCCCTCACGGATTACAATAAAACTAAAAACCCGTGTCTACAGGAATCTACTTCTCTGGGACAGGGGGAGTTGTCGCTGGATGTGGCGGGTTTACTCGCAAAATTGCTGGACCTAGGGTCATAGTTTGACAAATCTGCTTGGCTGATGTATGCGGATAGTTTGCAGCTGGCTTCTTACTCAGAATTACCAAGCCCCCAGTCGACGGTCCCATTGTTAGAAGTGATCATGCACTGTATTACACTGTGGTCCAGTACCACCTAGGCCTATTGAACCTTTTCACCTTTGGGAAGACAACTTCTCTAAAACTCTCAAATGGCCGGGTATGTATTGAGTACGGGAGGGAGGGGGGGCAACAAATGGAAGTGTTCTTGTTGGCTGCCCTTTAAACCAACTTTAAGGGTACCCTCAAACAACAGTTTCCCCCACAAACCGTGACTAAATGTGGTTTTAGAGTACCCCATAGCCACGTTCCATCTATGTCGACCCTTATTTGGGTGTGTCTGTTTTCGGGACCCCTCTGCCCCCAAATTGATTTCGGTGGGTTCTTTTGGTTCCCGGAAAGACCAACGAAAAAACGAAGGTACCTCCCGACCACAGACACCCCCTTCAATGGAGGGGACCCTTTGGTTTCCCTGAAAAACCAACGAAAAAGGTAAAAGGGAAGCATCCATTTGCTGAAATGAACATGGTTTTTAGACGGAATCGATCTCACTACTGGACATATGTTTGCTCATTTTTTGCCGGGGGCGCAAAAGCGAATAGAAGGACGGAAGAACGCACTCCCTGTGCCTCCAAAGATTAGTCTCCCTGTTGTTAAAGAAAATCTATCACTACTGGACATGTTTGAATTATTTTCCCGGGGGCTTAAGAAAATGCAAGCTTAGGGAGCCCCCCGCCCCTGCCTGTTGGTTTCCCTCAAAGAAACAACGAAAAAGCGCAAAGGGTTCCCCCATCAATGGAGGGGACCTTTGGTTTCCCTGAAAAAACCAACGAAAAAGCTGGGCTTCCTCCCAAAGACACCCCCTTCCTCCCAACCAAAAGAGGAAAGGGAAGGAAAGACACACCCCTTTTAGCGCTTTAGGGGGTCCCCTCCATTGACCCAGCCAGGAGCTGGCTGGAATGCTGGGCCGCAAGTGGCCGCCGCCCCGAGTAGTGCCCGGTGGCCCATTCGACCATTTTCTGGGAGTGGCAACCAGTTTGGGTCGATTCGTGTCCAGTTGCCATGGATGTGTGGTATGAGGTTTTGGTCTTAGAAGTGTGCGGGGAGGAGGGGGCAAGAATTGCTCGTTAAGATATCTGACATGAAGATGTTGTTGATTTTCCAACTGGGTGTCAAAGGAATCGTACCCTTTATGGGGGTTGGTCTAGTGGCAAACCACCCATTTTGGGTCCCCGTATTTTGACACATACCCAACCGGTTGACCGGAGTCCCTTTACGGTATATTTCTCACTCCCTGAGTTCCGTTTCGGACTGTAGACTTTTTGGGGTTGGACCATTCCAATGGCCAACATTCAAAAGATTGGTTACGCTCTCGCCCACGCTGCTTCATGGCAACAGGCTCCTGGTCCTTCAAAAGGAAGCTGAGCTTCCAGGTAGCATCCCACAGATGCCACGTTTGTGGGAGGAAGGGTTGTTGTTTTGGCCAATCAAGGCAGCCATTGCCTGAGTTGGCAAGAAGTTCAAGCATTTTAAGCAGGTCTGTCCATAAATTTTAGCTGCCCAAGTTCGAACCTTTGCCCAGGCCCAACTGGGGAACCACTCAACCTCCACACCTCGAAACCACCAATCCAAAGCGCCAAACAGCGAGGGAAGCAGATCAAACCAACAAGTGGCCAGTTTTTAAATGAAATCAACCATGGGGGGGGTCCCTCAAATGGAGACAAACCCATATAACAAATGTTGGAGGATGTGCTTTTGTCCAATGGGCATTTCCATGGCCAAGTTCTGGTTGTAATAAAGGTCTCTAAGCCCATTGTTCCAGGACACCCAGGCTTGCTCCCAACCAATTATTCTCAACCGATGACGCCACGAGGCTAGAACAAGTGTTGACCACCATCCTGCTGTCAAAATGAACTAGCACGACTCCATTCAGTCTGAGAGCTAGAGAGCGGCCATGGTGTGTTTCTTTCCTTCTTCCCCAAGAAGAAGCTGAAACCGGTATTGGGTTATTTGTGTCTCTTTGCCCCAGACCTTCCGACATCATTGGTCATTGTCCTGACCTCCAGACATTTTCTGGGTGTGTTTTTCTTGTCAAAGTTAGCCTTCAAACGCTGGTGTTTCTCTTGGCCCAGCCTCCAAAAGCCGAGCCTCGACGGATGCCCATCCCAGGCGCTTGGGGTTCCTTGCCGGGTTTCTTCCCGTGGCGAGTTCAGGTCCTGACATCTGACGCGGCGAGGCGAGGCGAAGTCTGAGGATCCGGGGCACTTTTTTGGTCAGGGAGGATCAAGGGGTGAGGTGGGGGGTACGGGGGGTTGGGGGTGGGGGCGGTGGGGGGGATTGGGTGTGTGTGTGTGTGTGGGGTGGGATGGAATGTGGTGGGAAAGGGTGGAGAAGGGGGCGGCGGGGGCTGTATCTGGCTTTTGTAGTTGCATTACGAATGCACGCGTCCGACACAAGTCCTTGCCTCCTGTTAAGGTGAGAAGGACATTCCCACAGCCGTGTTTGATGATGGCCTTTGAGAAATGATAGTCTTGCAACAGGGTTCCAAGGAGACGAGTTTCCGCCAAATTGAAAGCGACCTTTGCTCCTTCAAAAGGTTTCTACCTAGGCTCCCCCAGTAGTGCCCTTTTACCCTTTTTTGGGGGAGGGTTCCCCTAAAGGAAACCCTTATTCTAACCTCTCTACTGGACCTAGCTACACGTACCAGGTGATAGGTGTCAAGGAACCCAGTCCAACACCTTGCTCCCATGCTTTGCCATGTCTGCCCAAGCCTCACTGGAGATCCCGGCGGGTCGCATGTTTGATCTCCTCAACGACTTGTCTAGACATCACCTGAGCCACAATCAAAACCTGGGTAGATGAAGGTTAGTAAGGGACAATCCCAACCAAAAATAGCTGCGGATATCCGCCTTCTTAATTGGGACCATTTTAGTACCGATCGGTTTTGATTATGACTCACCGGAAGGAGCATCTTCCATTGAGCTTCTCTCAAAGAGGTGCCGGAAGGAGACAAATGTGGCGAAGGGCTTGTCTTGAGGGTACCCTTTTCAGGCATGTGGTTGGGTTGGAACAAAAAGAAACCCGTCATTTTGAGGTCCCCCTCCCCATTTCACACAGAATCAAGCTTGAAAAAGAACAGATTTGTTTGACAGGCCCCAAGGAAATTGCCGTCGTTGTTGTAAACCGGGTGGAAGCCCTGAAATTCCGTGGCAAAAGTCGACCGCCCGAAGGCCTCATCTTCCGGTCTCCTGACACCCGCGCCAACGGCTCGCCCTTTGCCAAGCCACGTGGCCCGCTGTCCTTGTTCCCAGACATGCGCCCTTTTTTCCGTTTTCTGTTTTTTCTTTTTTTCCTTTTTTCTCCGGATGAACAACTCAGGCTACTATGGATGGATTTCGAAATCCATGCTCGAACCACTTTGAATCTATGAATGGGAAGCCAGCGTTTGTTGGTATTTACAGGGAAAATCGAAGGTTTGGATTTGGAGTTGGACCCCTACAAATGTCCACGGCTCGGCTCCAAAACCAGTTCGGCTCCAAACTACCGAACGAGGGAAGCTGAGAAGCGTCTCCCGTTGGACCCAGTAGTGCCCTTTTACCCTTTTTTGGTTGGGAGGGGAAGCCCCTAGTAAAATAGACTACAGACAAAAGTTGGTACCCTTATTCAAAGCCTTATTCTACCCGCTCTACTGGAGGACCTAGTGGCGATTTTCTCATGGACATCCACTGGTCTTGCCAGGGCCTTTGAAAGCTCTAGACAACTCTTGCTATGTCCGAATTGCCATGTGCTTAAGCAACCAAAAGGGAACCGCACGGGACACGCCCTTATCACTGGCCATGCGGAGAGGAATCTGGAGCTTGGCTGCCTCGCAAATGGAAGCCGAGCATTCCAGACATGTCTTGACTTGTGGAGGTTAGCAAACACATGGGAAAAGCAAGAATGGCGGATTAGTTGTTGGACTGCGCCAATATGTTTGCCTTTTTGTTTTATCGTCCAACTGACCATGAACAAGTTGGGTTTGTGGCAAAGGTCAGGCTATGCCTGAAGCAAAGGAAGGGCCTTGGACGAGGCAACGGCTGCATCACCCGCTGCACCAAAGCCTGGTATGTGTTTTCCGCGCGGCGGAAGCGAATCGCGCGATTCGATGCGCGCGGAATGGGAGAAAAGACGAGCAGAATCGCCATGCCGCAGCCAATATTCGATCAGTTTCCTGTTGGTGGGGGATGCTTCAGGGAAACCAGCAATTTAAATGTAGTCAGCACGAGGAAGTCAATAATAAAATACGCACGTACTTTGGGAGAGTGTAAGACCGAAGAATTCACGGCCCATCGGCCCAATAATAGTAGCCCGCGGGGAAGAGGGGGGGGTGGGTAGTGGAAACCACTTTACATGATCCTTGGTAAAGAGCAGGCCGTCAGAATCACACCAAAATTGCTACATGACTTCCAGTGCACTGTGAGACAAAACGGGTCAGAGAAGATTGAGTGGTTTCTGCCCACCAACACCAACGTTCATATGCGCGAGTCAACAGGAGAACAGCTTGTTTAGGGTGTTTTGGGGCGATTTCCTGTAGATAAATGTTCCTGTAACCAACTTTGAATCCTTTGTCCGGCTTGGCTTTTTGCTGGGCATGCAAAAGTCACGCCAAATCCTTTCTCACTAAGCCAGCCGAATGTACATTTTGCAGCGGACATATCTTTGGCTGAAAGGATTTGCCGTGAATGACTTTGGGTGTAGAATCTGGGGCTCTTTGGATGGCGTCCTGGTGAATCAGAAGGAAACCAACTTACTGATGCGTTCTCTATCTAAGGGAGCATTTTTTGGCATCCGTTGGCACACGGGTCCCGGAAAGGCAAAGCGGCCCAAGAGCTAGGAGATCAATCCCTAACCTTGCCTGTGCGATAGGCAGGGAAGGAGAAATGGAATGAACCCTCTTAACCATGGTCCTACTGGGCACCGGCAAGTAGTTCGTTTACTCCATGCGTAAAGTCAGACATGTCAATACCACTGGCTCACAACAGCTGGTACTTTGAGGAGACTCTCTCAACAGTCGCCACTGGTTGCTTTCGAATCTATCATAGTCAGTCCTCCCATGGCTCCATATTTTGACGACCGCAAGGTAGACGATTTCCCCAGCTTTTGGGACATCGAGAACTGGGGAAAGATGCGTCCTTGGGGTCTTGAAACAAAACTGTGAGATTTTTCGCAACCATCCGCAGCATCTTTGCCTCCCTTTGCTTCTTCGCCCCCTGGAAAAAATGAGCACATATTTCCAGTAGTGACAGGGATTTCCCTTTCTTGGTGGTTTGAGACATCACCTTTGGGGCCCATGAAAGGTGAGTATCCCTTGGTGGGGATGATGTTTTATAGGGAGCCCTGCGTGATCTCGATTCCCTATAACACACCGATTTTCTCTGAGGATTTCGACGGGCACTCGGCTCCGGCCAGGCCTTGCAGCCACTGCGAGGCTTCTTCCGACTCGCACCGGCTCGCTCGTTCACTTCGGCGAGCGTTGCGGGCGTTTGCGAAGAAGACGAGCCCAAAGGAGCCCACGGGTTCCGGTTTTTGTTTGGGTGCGTGTCCAAAAAGCGGAGAAACTCTGGGGCCGAGGATTTCGGCGGCCATTTTGGTTTCAACCTAAAAGCCAAGCCCAAAAAGGATACACATGGATACACTCACCAAAAAGCGACAGCCCCATGTTTACTCGCGGCAATGGAGAATTGCTTATCTTCACTCAGGGTTTCCTCCATATCCTGTCAAAGGCAACCTCCAAAAGCGATCATTTCAATGAAAGCCAGTCAATTGCAGCTTAAACAGAAAACTGAAAACGAAGCACCCCTGTCACGTGTCTTTGAATGTTCACTAGTTCTTTGTTTTGTTCGGTTCCGTTCACGTGTTTGGTCCATTAACCAGGCTTCCGAAGGTGCTCGCTTTAGAGAAGCAGCACTCAACTAGGTGTATGCGGTGCTGTCGAGGTAATTTCCCTTTTCGCAATGTTTCAAAGAGAAAGGAAAAGGAAAACTGCATTGTTAGTTGGGTCGCCCTGTTTTTGACACATACCCACGTAAAGAAAAGATCAGATTGATCAGATGCTACCCTGTTTAACTGCCCTGTTAGTCGCTTCATACACGGTATCAAGCTGGGATGGGCTTGCCTTTCGAGTGGGGATGAGAAGTGCCCAACGCCGACTCCTGGCCGTGGCAGAAGTCAATGGATTTGGGGCACTGCTCAGACGTGAATTGCAGTATGAAGAACGCAGGATTGCCAAGCCGTTGGTTTCGATCGGAGAAGTGTCCTGCTCCATTTTGAGGGGATCCGGCCGGGTCGCTTTGCCGAGATCCTTTTGAAGTGGCCAATGCGTTGTATCCGACTGCCCCAGTGAAACCAGGAGCCCCACCCTCCGGGTTTTGTTTCGAGGGTTCCCTGTTTAAGGAGAAACCTACATGGAACACCTGGAGAGCGCCGCAGTTCCTGAAAACCTATCACCCGACCCTTGCCCTGCACAGCCAAGCACTTTTGAATCGAGCTTTGTTGTTCAATTGTCCCCCAGTTGGAAGCCATGAGCTGGAATGGAAATGCACATTGTAATATATCTGCTGTGTCTTTCTTACCCCCTCTTTTGCTGTAAATATACAATTGCAAGATGCGTATTAGCTTTTTCATCGTCATTCCGTTCATCCACTTTCGGACAATACTGGAAGCGGATTGGGGAAGCCCCCAACCAGGAAACGTAGTCTTCTGCAAGCGCCCATTGGCTTCCATCTGCTTAGAAAAATATGTTGGTTTATTTTGCTGGTTTTTAAGGGAATCGAGATCACTACTGGAAGAAATGTGCTCGCGTTTTCCTGGGGGCGAAAATATTGCTCAAGAAAATGTTGTTTTGTTGCTTGTGAAAATCGATCATTACTGGAAGAATGTGCTCACGTTTTCCTGGGGGCGAGAAAGTAGAAGGAAGTTGGAAGGAGGGGTCACCTGCGTTCGCCTCTCGCCAGATCTGCGGGCGCAAAGTGCGCCGGCCCTGGCAGCGTCCGACTTCGCGGAAGCGGTGGCGCGGGTGGAAACGACTTCCGTGCCCTTGAGGCGACGGATCCAGGGCAGGTTTCAGGGAGAGGGGGTCTGGATGGAGATTAGACATGTATGCATATAGATGTATACATACCACTGTATATATACATATGCATAAGAACATAAGGGAGTATCTACATTAAAATCACAAGGGGTATAGATATAAAAACATAAGGGGTATAGATACAAATGGGTATATACATAGCACTGACAAGTTGCACTGTAGCTCTGGATGCCACGTGTGAAGCCCCGCCAGTCCTCAACACAGCCTACCATGTACCGAGCCTCAAAAAAACGCTCACCCATTTACCTCGAATATATATATATATATAGATGCTACCCCCGCCCTCCCAAATCCCAGTTGTGTGTTTAACAAATCTATTTGTTTGTAAACTTGTGCCAAGAAAAAGCCTATCCCCAAACGCGGTATAGAGACTGATATACTGTCCAAGCAAAGGCAGTACCTTTGATGTGTTTATAAAATGGTGGTGGGGGTTTGTGGAACCCCCACCCCCCTGAAAATGGAATCGGGGAGAGGGCTGACTCCTGAAACTCCATTTATGGTAGCCCATTTTCCCTCGTATGGGAAGACTAGAATGGTTGTAGAATGCGCCTCTCGCACCCGAGCAACCCAAAGGAATAATTTGAAGTAAATTCCGTAGCAAACGTTATGGTTTCAACCATGGTTTCAAGAGGTGGTGCTACATGGTTTTCGTCCGCGAGGGGGTTCCTTGTAGGTTCTCTTTTACCGCGAGCGACATTTTCCACAGCCAGGTTCCTTCATTTTCCCTGCCAGCAACAAGTTAACTGTTTTGCAGTGTAAGTTTGACCAAAGGCTTTGCATCTTTTAGGGCGGCTCGATCTGCGCAAATGCTCGATGTTTAACTAGGCACCCGTGAGGTACTGGATCTTTGGAGTTCGGAACTCTCAGAAGCAAGTACCCTCCCAACAAACATAGAACACAGGAGGGTAATGCAAGGGGCTATAGTCTACCATGCCTACCACTAGAATCATGACAAAAGGAAGGCCCGTGGATTACTCTCTTGTCAAAAGTGGGCTTTTGGGACATGAGGATGCCTTTGGTCTTCCAAAGCCTTCTGTCCACTTCCATCACAGTTCGAAAGATGTGTTGTCCCTTAAAAACCAAGTTTCCCTCTGACGCTCTGGTGGGTTCCATGTTTAGTGAGAGCAGATTTTTGAACCTGTGCACCTCCCTAGGTAGTTGAGCGAATGAACGGGTGATTCAAATACCCTAGCAAGCAATGAGCTCTCAGGAAACTTGTGTGGATGCCGAAATCCTGCACCTCCTAAGAACATGGTTGAAACAACATTGTTTGTTGGCATGCAGGGTCGGAATCGAATCATTCCAGTGCTTTTTAAGGTGCGAAATGGATGTCGCAACCATCCACAGGGAATCGGCCCTATAAGCCATACCTAGGTGTCCCACTGAAATTGATTCCCTATTGGAGCAAGCCAAAATGGAAACCTGCCGAATAAAGGGATGGACCTTCTTAAGCCTTTAACGTTGGTAGGTCAGCCAGTAAAGTCGGTGTTGCCACCACAAGTCGAAGGGTGGAGATCGGTAACCTGGCAGAATAGAAGCCACTCACCAGCCTTGGAAACCACCCAATAATAAAGGACCAACCAACCAAATCGCAGCATATATGTTACATCATGAACGCCATATACAAAAGAAGATTCATGTAAACCAACTGTTATACTACACATGATAAAATTCACAACTTGTTCAAACAAAACATGACATGTTATTTTTCTGATCGAGCTAGCTACTTAACATACAAACATGAGATGAGTTCTTCTCATACAATTGAGAACCGCGACCGCACCCGACCTCAGTGTCCCATTCCTTGGCTTCCGGAGGCTGCCGGCGGGCGCGGTGCCGGCCCGGCAAAGCCCCGCCAGCGAGCCGGAGGCAGGCACGGCGCTCAAGTCACGGGCTGAACCAGCCAACTCTGTTGGATAAAACTACGGACACCTTCATAGGTGTCCTTTTTGCTTGATTTGGTTGAAAAATAGAGAGCGATTCCTGGCTTACCTGGTGGTTCAATCAACTTCCAGGGCGATCTATTTTCCCAGAAAGGACACCTATGGATACCTCGCGACTCCCGGCTCTCCCTCTGCGTCAGTTCAGTCTACTGTGGAGCGCTGCGAAAGCTACTCGAAAAAAGTTGGCGAGATCACCTCACAGGTTGCCTGGAACACCCTCACCTGCTGTGGATGGACGGAATCCATGTCGCACCACTTTGAAACGATGGCAAACCATAACGCTTGTTGGTGTTTACGTTGAACGGGAATCGAATCGTTCTTTTGGGTTTCTTAGGTGGTGCGGGATTTCGTCGATCCCCAGTAGTTCCAACACAACCCCGAGCGGAGTTGCGGAAGTTAGGCAATTTGCTTGCCTTCTTGCGGAAATCAGCTACCCCTTAACCTTTTGGTTTTCCCACGTTGGTCCATTTTTAGTAGAGGTGCCAGGTTAGCCTTCTAGTAGAAAGCATGTTATTTGATCATCTCCCCTGGTTTTAAAGGTAACCCACGGCTACTGGAAATACGTTTATGCGTGTTCCAAATGTAACTTATGCGAATGATTGCAAATGGAGGATCCCCTAGGTCTGCTTAGGGACATATACGTTTCCCGCTGCAGAGCTACAAGTCCAATGGCATAGCAGCATGGCATGGCACTTGGTTTCGGCCCACGGGATTCACGACATTCGCCCGCAGTTGAAGTGCCGCAAAGCCTCTACAGCACGCATGCGCCACTTGATGTGTTGAGACCTGTGCGCGAGCCCCGTGGCTGAAAGAGGCCGGGCGCAAGAGAGCCACACCCGAATATGAGGCGGGTGTCCTTGATGTTCGTCTACTGAGCATCCCTTCATATCACCTGCTACACGAGCGAATAGCTTCTCGGTTTTTCCTGGGCTCTCCTTTTGCCACCTTGGAAAGGAGCAACCAAGCAATTTCAGGGAGCCCATTCTCACTTCAGGGCTCCAAGATCAAACAAAGTGTTCAGTCGCCCCTCGAAAGGGCCCTTTCTTCCCGAAAGTTCCATAAAATAAGCACTTCCACGAATATTTTCGGGCGCCCCATCGAAAAGGCTCCAATTTCTTGGGTTCCCCGCACCCGGCGCGGTGAAGCTTTTCGCCGGACGCGTCCCTTGGGCCGAGCGCGGATCCGGCTCACGCGATGGTGCTCACGGGGGAGACGGTGGCCTGCGCCAAGAACTGCCGCGGCATCGCGCCGGGGAAGCGCGTGCAAGTGCTCGAGGGGAGGAGCCGAACTTGAGCGCTATTCCCAGTTGCCCAGGGGATAGGTAGTTGAGAGCCGTAGGGTTAAGGAATTCCCGCCTTGAACCAACCACCTTGCCACAGGACTCCAACACCCGGTTGCCCAGTGGATTCCGCCCTTTTGGTGGACTTTTTTTCGGGAAGGGTGTCCCTTTAAAGTCAACCAACCAAAAAAGAGGGTGCCCCTTTGTTTCAACATGGCCACTGGGCATCTAAGTATTGGGTTGGATCTTTAGACTTCAACTTTTGGGAAATCGCCGGGTGTCCATTTAACCCACAAAAAGTAGAACTTGTTGCAGGGGGGTCAACAGCAGCCAAGCGAAGAGTTGGCAAAGTCCTTGTTGTTTCCCCGTGAGAAGTGCAGTCTCTCCTCCAAAGATAGTTTTGGTTGAAACAGAGGGGAGGAGCCGAAAGTGCAAGGTGCGGACCTTCTGATTGCCCCTATTGACATATTCTTTCCATTGCGAGCGTATCTCGGACCGGTAAGCCAGCCAGCCGCGGCCGGCCGGCCGATCAACCAGCCGCGGCCGGCTGCCCGATCAGCCACGGCTGGCCGGCCGATCAGCCAGCCGATCAGCCAGCCGCGACCAGCGGCCGGCCGCCCGATCAGCCAGCCGCGGCTGGCCACCCGATCAGCCAGCCGCGGCTCAGCCAGCTAGTCACTGAGATAGGTAGCTGGATCGATAGATAGGGAGAGGAGAGAGAGAGAGAGAGAGAGAGAGATAGACAAATTGATGGGTGGATTGGTACAGATAAACCGATTCATGGGATATGATAGGAAAGGACAGGTTGAGGAATGATAGAATGGCATGAGACAGCATTAGACATGATAATGTGGGGTAAGATACGATGAGATAGTTCCGCATAGGAGAAAGTATCTATCTATCTATCTAATCTAATCTAATCTAATCTAATCTAATCTAATCTAATCTAATCTAATCTAATCTAATCTAATCTAATCTATCTATCTATCTATGTATCTATGTATTGATCTATGTGTCGATCTATCTATCTAGCTAGCTACTTTTCGATCAGTGCTATCTAATATATGGTATCTATCTATCCTAATCTGCAAATCTACATGTTCCTATCATAGATGGACATATAGGATTATAGATACATATAGTACGGCCAGCCGTCAGGTCGGCCGTTTGTTGAGTCCCAGCCAATGATCCAGTCCTGGTAGAGTCACCCGGCCAGATAAATTGATGGCACGATAGATGGATAGAGGAATGAAGAGATCGATAGATAGATCGGTAGACAGAAAAAATAGATACAGTAGTTGGTTCTTATTGTTTAGCTTTTGTAAATATGTTTTACGATTGGCTAAAGCTCTTCGGAGTTGGTGGCGCTGGTCAGTAGATAGAATAGGATAAGATGGGGCAGGATACAGGACAGGATAGGAACACACAGGATAAGATAGGATTGGGTAGATAGATGAAGTAGATTGACAGATAGATTCTACAATGAGATACATAGGGCGCGATGAAGAGAGAAACAGAGAGAGAGAGAGGGATAGAGATAGCTAGACAGACAGATGGACAGTTGGATAGATAGGTATTTTTTGACAATTCAAACAGGCACACAGACGCGATAGGTACATAGATAGATGCGTAATGATGGTAAGACATAGCATAGATACGATAGATACGCACAGATGCAAAGACAGACATATTGATAGATAGATAGATAGATAGATAGATAGATAGATAGATAGATAGATAGAGACAGAGAGAGAGAGATAGATAGATAGATAGATAGATAGATAGATAGATAGATAGAACACACAGGATGATAGAATGGATAGATAGATAGTCAGATAGATAGGGTGCACGATAAATTGATAGATAGATTGATGGATAGCTAGGTATCTACCGGTTCATGTGATAAGGAAAGTTATGTTAAGATCGGATCAGATAGGGTAAGATATGACATGATAGGATACGATAGGGCAAGATTGGGTTCGGCAGGAACAACTAAGCACATGTATTATCATACAGGGTAAGACGGGCTAAGATAGTTTAGGAAACGAGAAGACTTGATAAGATGGGGCAAAGCTAGATAAGGGATATAATCGATATCATGAAAGACACGACAAATATGATAGATGAGATAGATAAGAACGATAAGACGAGAAAAAAAGAAGATGTATGATCGATTAGATAAATAGGATGGATAGGACAAACAGGATAGACAGGATGATATCGTGCATAAATAGATTGGTAGACAGATGCACAAATTGCTAGGTAGGTAGGCAAGTAGATTGTTCGGCACTTGGAGAGATAGGTAGATCGAGAATGACGGATGGATAGACACATAGATAGATATAGATAGGCCGATTCATAGGATAAGATAGCCTAAGACGGGCTAAGAACGGTGAAGCAAGATAAGACAGGAGAAGACATGTTAATACAACATAAGATTGGATAATATGATTTAGCGTAGGAGAAGACTTGGTAAGATAGGAAAAATGTAGGTAGGTCATATCGATAAGGAGGAGGCTTCTTCTTCGCCCCTTGCCATCGTTTGGCCTCCAGTCAGCTGAAACCCGTAGCCTTTTCTTGGGGCCTCCTAAAAAATATCACTGTGTCTTTGCTTCTTTTTTGGGGGGGGGGAGATCTTCCCTGTGTGGTGGTCGCACCACTGTTCAGAAGCCATGGTTGAAACCGGAACGTTTGTCGGTGTTTACTTTTTGGAATCGAGTTCTTCCTTTAGGTTCTTGAACGGTGCGAGAAGCGGATTTCGCGTCCAGCCATCCACAGTATGATTTTCCGCGCGCGGACGTGGCCCAAAGTCCGGTTTTGGCCCAGGAGCTTTGCGGGGCTCTCGGGGGGTGATGTGGGCCTAGTGCTCAGCCTGGACATGGAGCACCAGCTCTGCTTGGCGCCTTGATCCCCGATGCGATCTCTCTCAAAAAGTCCCCGAGTTCTCGGACCTTCGTGGGTGTCTCACTCCCTGAGTTCCGTTTCGGACTTCAAAACTTCTTGGGGGCTGGACCAGTTTTTGCTGGTGCACAAAAAGTTTGGACTTTTGGACTGTTTGCCAAACCAGGGAAGTGAAAGATCCGTGGGAATGGAACCGAAAGTTGCGAAGTTGTTAGGGGCTAAATTGGAACCTCTCCCTGCAAATGCCCTTTGGTGGTTCCCAGCCATCCGGTTCCTTAGGTTGTTAGCGTTTTAGGATTTAGTGGTTGGGTTTCCATTGAAAGCACCAGAATGAACTTTTAGCAGGGGGTCTAAAAACCGGCAGCCCTCGATAGGATTGGTTTAGTCTTTTTCAAGGGGGTGTGTTTGGGGGGGTCCCTTTTAGGGGTGTGTGAGTAAAGGGCTATCTTCAGTTGACAAGTGCCCAGTTCAATTGATGATCTATCCGAAAGGTTGCTATTGAATTTAGGTAAAGGGGCTACTTTTTTGGGGTTTCGTCAAGCAGAATCACATTGAACAGCTGTTGAAATTCTTGTGGAATGTATCATACGCATGGACATTGTTAGGGTTAGACCCCCAAAAAGGTGAGGTTTGAAGGGCAGGCAAGTTGGGCGGTCAAGTTTGCAGACCTCTACTGGTGACCTGTGCTCCTTGCTTTCAAGCGAGTTTCCCTTAAAATCAAGCAAAGCTCCTGTGGAGGTGCAAACTTCTATGAAAGCCCACGACCAAAACCGAATGCGTTTCAAGACAAATTCCTCGAGCCTCTGTGTCTCTTTGCTTCCCCCCCCCCCTACCAACCCTCGAGGTGCGCTTCCGCGCCGGCCGCGAGCCCGTGGCCGTGCCCGTGCGCCACCTCAGGGGCTGCGAGCCGCCGCCGCCGGAGCCGCGGGAGCGGGCGGAGGAGGCCGCGTCCCAGGAGCGATGTGCTCGGCGCTTGAGGAGGCGTTGGACGCCAAAGCCTTTGGAGTTCCAGTTTGGTTTGGTCTTCCGGGGCGGTTTTCAACATTTGCACTCAAGAAGGGTTCAAATCCTCAAGCCAGCAGTCCTTAAAAACTGCGAGGTATCCCTTAATTGGGGGGGGAGCCTGAAAAAGTGTGAGATTGCCCTTAATGGGGGGGTTTGGATGGGGAGGGTGGCTTTGGGGGGTCGGATGCCCTCAATTGGAAGTTGAGGCGATTGCTCGGTACCCTTGCTGTATGGCTTTGAAAGGAACCAAGACTTGCCCATTTGGGGGCTTCGATTCCTATTTTGAGACCGATGGGGGTCTGGGGGCTTGAACCCCTTGTGGAGCTCCAAACCCCGTGAGACGGGAGCTGGGAATGTGTTGAACAACCAGACCCTGATGGCCGTTCAAAACTATACCCGGAAACATGATTGCCACAAGGGAATGCCCCAACTCTGCTGTCCTACTTTTCTTTGAAGCAACCAAACGTTGAAACCGTTCAACTATCACAGCAGGATTTGAACGAGGCTATCGAGACTACTTCCGCCAAAAAACACGTAGGATTCATTGCCCCTGGTGGTTATAGAAAGGCCTGCATAAATCTGTAAAAAGTTAAGGAGTGACCACTGTTGTAGACTAAGTTGCCCAGAGCCGACTTTTTGACAACTAGATTTTGCAAATTCGGCGGCCCTTTTTTAGTGGCCAACTGTTGTAGAAGCATCAACTCTTTAAATTTCCCTTTGAAGGGGCAGTCAGTGGAAGGGAAGTGGGTCTGTGGTTTTCCTGAGGGAAGCCTTTTCTGGCTGGCTCTTAAAGGGCAACCGTTTTTCTCTTGATCTTCATATTATATCCTCGGATTACACCTAGGGAGACTACCCAAAATAATCCCAAATCGACCAACATAGATGGAATGGGGTGATTCTCCAGGCGCAATCCCATGGACAATTGGAACCCCCTTGGAGTTTCGCCATGTTGGGGAGGCTCCGAGTCATGAAAAAAAAGAGGAACGAGCCACTCCTTACAGCTTCTCTTGCGCGTTCCCTCTGCGAACCAAGAGAATCCATGGAAATGGGTTCCCCCAAAACGCCTCTAACCGCTGGGATCAGGAGACGATCAGCTTTCCAGCACGACCTGAGCCTGTGTCCCCAGAGCAGACGAGAGCTGTGGCTGCACTGAAGGAGATGCTGCAGATGGTGCCACTCGGTGCAAAGGGCTCGCGGGGTCAGGTTGGATAGCTGGAATGCGCACTCACTGTTCCCATATGGTTCTGGGAAATTTGGCCTTAAACGGGAATCCCCTCTAAAGTAACAAAGTACTCAGGGGCATGGTCAACATCGGTATCCCAAATTTCGAGCGGGTTTCCATGCAGGAAGCATCCCAAAAGCGTCCCTTCAGACCACAGTTTAAATTCTTACGCCCCCTACAGATCAACACGGAACCCAAAAACACCCACTCCTTTATGGCTAGTTGGTTTCATTTTTAGACTTTAACTTTTGGAAATCAAGGGGCGTTCCATGCAACCCAACATCGTAGGATCAGAAACTCCTTTTGAACATCGGACTCCGTTTTTGGGCTCCGTCCGCTAATCTGCCGGGTCATGTCACTTTATTGGACCCCCGCCAGCTGAACGAAATTGAGTTGACCACCTCTTTCTTGTCGCCACAGATGGCTCGCGTCAAAATAGTGTACAGGGCCCTAGCCTAAACCCCCCTTGCCCCTCCACCTAATTTCCTAAGGATTCTTGCAGCAGGATCCCTAAATAATACATGTGACCTATGCGGATTTGGAGGATTCCCATGTAAAGCCGTGGCGTTTGGTCGTATCCCTTCACTGTTGTTGGCATGTGTTTATGTGTTTTTTTGTGTTGGAGTTTCTGTTGGTTCTGTTTGTTTTTGCAGTAGGTGGCTGCCAAAACGCTGGTCAGTTTGGTTTGCTACACCAAAGGTTGGAAAGATCCTTCCTGGGTTCCCGGGAAGGGAAGCGCAGGTCGCCATCCCAAGCGAAGCAGTCTGCCTCCACTGCGACCTACGACGCGGCTTGGCGGGCACAAGCCCTTAGACTTTGAGGATGTCGAGAGTTAGGGGGGCACATAGCAGATATATAGTATGTACATATTCAGGGTTCCACTTTTTGACTACCCCAAGGGAGACTTAAATGTACGGGTTCCCCTTTTGGGCACATAAACCATCCCTGGGCTTAAGTAATCTGGGGGTGTAGTCAAGAAATTGAACCCTGTATACGTTGTGTATTGTGCGTGTGTGCGTGTGCATGTGTATGTGTAGTATATAGACGTGCATGCATGGTATCCCACTAAAGGTGTGAACTTAATTTCTAGTGGTTTAAAGGGAAACCAAAAGGCAGCCGCCCATTTCGCACGTCCAAATCCCCAAAAAAGGACGAGCCACCCATAAACGAGCCACGAAGGCGGAGGGCAGTTGGTACGCCCTGTGCGACACGTCCAAGACGTATGCCTGGAAAGAGCCACGCACGCCGAGCAAGAACTACGCCAGCAGCTCGGCAAGCGAAATTTGGGTGCCTTTTCGCTATTTGGGGTATGGCTTTTTTTTAGGAGACCCCTTAAAAAAACGTGGTGTGAACCACAAAAAACGGGCTACCCTCAAAGAGGACAGGCCCTTTTGTGCCCCTTTGGCTTTCCATCAATGTCTCTTTCAACCAAAAAGTTAGCTTCTTGTAGGGGGATGAAGTCTTGGGCCAAGTCAAAATGTTAAATGTGTTTGCTCGGCGCCCAAAAGCGCCCAATCCCTTCGGGCACTTGCAACTGGATGGTTTGGCATAGGAGCCAAGTGGTCAAAAGGAATCTATGGGTGCGAATCAAAATACGCGGCTGTTCAAAACTGACGTTTTAACCTTTTCTGTTTCCCGTTCGGAATGCTACATCGGCTTTAGCGCCGCACGGAGCGGTGTCTTACTCCAACAAACGTTATGGTTTCAGCCGGATTTCGCAACCATCCACAGGATTTATCTTTGAACCTACCCGAAAGAGAGCTCAAGGATTACGCCAACCCAGCTGAAACAGGAACGCCCCGGACTCATTGGCCGAACCATCAAAAAAGCAGAGGCCCAAATTTTCGCGGCACCCGCGTGGAAGCCATGCGTCGGAGGCTGGGATGCCGTGGACCTGCTCGCCACGCCCTCCACCGCAGTGCCCGAGTCCCCCATTGACGCCGTGTGGCGCCCGCGGTGCGCTTCCCCGAGGCGTGTGGCGCCCAAAGTTGAGCCCTTCATCAACGTGTTACCTGGGTTCAACTTGGGGGAACAGACCACTTTGGGAGGGGAACACCCACCTATTAATTCGCTGGTAGGGTCAACATGAAGTGGTATGAAAGGCAAAGCCCAGCTGACCTTCATAGCGGGTCAAACCACCAAGCCGTTGATTTCGGCCCCCGAATGGGATTTTTCGGAGCTGGCCCGTGTCCCTTCATTTCTCAACTCCTCGGTCAGTTGCCCAGCGCCCCGTTCTGGCCCTTCTCCTTGAAACTACAACCCACCACAAATCCTCGGAGGCCCTCCCCTTCGCGGGACGGCCAGGATGCGGGCTCCGCTCACTCCAATTTGGGGATTTGGGGGCGGGGGGGGAGGGGGGTCTTGAGCAATGTGGCGGAACATGGCGGAACCAATGTCCAAAAAGGATGCGGAACATGGCGGAACCAATGTCCAAAAAAGGATGCCGAGGTTGTTTCTCCATATTTTTCCCCCATGGAGATCCACTGGACCAAAAAAGGATGCCCTGCCGATTCTGTTTTTCCCCCATGAAAATCCACTGGGCATCTGAGGAGCACAAGCTCGGCATCTCGCCTCAGGTCCCTTTCCCCCGGACCCAGACCGGTCTCGCCCCACGCCTCCGGCGCCTACCCCTCGGAGCCGGTGGCAGCGCCCATGGGCCGCGCCTGGCTGACGCAGGTGCCGCGCTTGCCCCATGGAACGGCGCCTCGGAGAAGGCGACGTAAGGCGGAGGAAGCGTCCAAAGAAAAAAATGGAAGCTGGACGTAAGGTTCACCCCAGATTGAGCATCCCCCAGCTCATGAAGAGGGGGTGAACTCCCCTGCCAAAGTGGTCTGATTCCCCAGAGAGACCCCCCCGTATTAATATGGCAGGTTGACTTTGCCCACGATTTACACCTTGAGAATGGAATTGGGCCTGGTGGAATTCGGCCGGAACTTTGGGAAGACTGGACTAGAACAATGAAATTGGGACCCCCCCACCCCCCCCCCCCCCCCTGCCTCCCCCGTAAAACCCTAAAGCTAGAGGAAGAATACGGCTGAACCCCGTGTTGGAACGCCAGGCTCGCCCCAATGTGGTCTATATATCTACCTGCAAGTGAGCAAGCTTCCGCTTCCCTGTTCTCGGTATTTTGTCTTTGCTGTGTTTAAGTAGTTGTTACTCGAATGCGCATGTTATTTTGTGTTTCTTTGCGGCACTTATTATGGGTGTGTTCTGCGCGGGGCACAACTTCATAGGAGTTGGGGAGACCAATTTGCGGAGAAGCATGACTTCAAGCCCCGCAGTTTTGGCTCAATTTGGGATTCCTACGGTTGGTTTCCAGGTGCCTGTTTGAGGTCCTAAAGTGTTCCTGAATTCTGCACTCACTTGCCCAAGTCGACCTTTTGACCTTTTGGTTTCCCCTTGTTGGCAACCAGGTTTAGTCATGGCGCCAAAAGGTGATCAGGGCAAGTGAGTTTAAGGCGATGTCATGTCTATCTTGTTGGCTTCCAAAGAAACGGTCATGACTGCCAGACATGTTTTTTTGCAGCAGTTGTGTTTGAACGAAGAATGGAACGGCCGGATGCAGCAGAAGCCAAAATTAAGACTTTTCAACCTGGCCTAGGCTTGCTTGTAACTTGGTTTGGGCGCGAAACAGATCACTGAAAGCATGTAACATGGTGGAATCCATTGAATACAGCACCTTTGATTCAAGATCTTGGCGGACAAATCGACTTGTGCCTCACCGCAAAGTGAAGGGTCCCCTCAAACTGGACAAGGTGTTCAAAGCTGGATCCCTTGTGAGGCCAGGAACGAATGTGCCCTTCAAAGTGCTTTCCACTTGCTGCTTATTCAGCTGGGAGTTGCAAAGCCCTTTTTGCCAAGGTCCCCTAAAGGGAACAGGTATGTTTTACATGTTCCACGCCTCATCCCCCAACCCAGGCCCAACGTTGGCGCTCGTGGGTCTTACACAATTCGCTTCAGGGGCATATGTTGATATGATATACTCTCCTAATTCGCGTCGAATCCAAAAAAGCAGATGTCCCCAGAGAGTTGCCTCAGACTGGCGGCTTTTGTGGGGGTTGCAATTTGCAAATCAGGGCAATGAGGCCAACTCCACCCTCTCCAACACAGCGTAAGTCCACCCCACATTCACCTCCCAAGGCCACTGAATAGCTCCTGTTAGCTTGCAATGAATAGATCCTGGCAGCGGTCAGTTTTGAGCAACAGCTTTTTCCCCATGGCCTGTTTACCTCACCATGGCGGAGTCTCAGTGGCACTGCTTTCAAGAAACGCTGGAGCATATGCCTCCCCTTCTCCGCGGCAGAATCAGTGAACTTGGCGCGAGAAGGAATGCTCCACCCCAACTCCAGTTCCCCCACCCCACGCCCTCCGAGGCTGGCTCCCGGCTACTTCCCCCGCCCTCCCCGGGGCAGCAGCTGCCCCCCCCGCCGCCGCCCGGGCGGATGTCGCCGCGGCGTTCGGGGCTGGTGCCCCCGATGAATCTCCTGGGCAGCGGCTCAGCTGCACGACCCGTAGAGCGAAGCGAGCCACGTGCTCAAAACCGATTCGGGTAGATGAAGGTTTGTAAGGGAGAATCCACAACCATAAATAGCTGCGGATATCCGCCTTCTTTATGGTTTACAATCTGGGTAGACCATTGTAATATCGGGGTTTGACGACTCAAGTCGAGTCCAGGTTGGTGTTGCCGATTCCCTTCTCGCATCTAGGTCCCCCAGCAATTGGTGCCCTTTTTAGCCCCTTTTTTGGTTGGAAGGGTTCCCCTACTAAACTAGACTACAGAAAAAAACTGGTACCCTTATTGTAACCTCTCTACTGGAGGACCTAGGCATGTTTGCTGGAGGGCGTAAACCAATTTCAGCGACCATTTCTGGTCTTGAGCCCCCCTTTTTTCCCCTTCTTTCGGGGGGAAGCAATGAAAATCGAATAAACTAGAACTACCAGATGGCGAATGTGAACTTTGGAACAAACCTTCCCAAGAGATGTTCACTCCGGATCCAACGAGGAGGATTATGCTCTAAACAGGGATGTTATGCATGTTTGACGAGATACCTTTGATAAATATGGTTTGATCCGGAACTAGTTTTGAGCCCCGGTTCACTGTTGGGGTGTGTCATTTGTCCTTGTTGTGTTTCCTGTTCTTTCTCCGTTTGTTTGTCGTTCTTGTTCCTTGTCGGTTGCTGGTTCCTCTCTTATTTGTCTGTGTCCATGTCTTGTTCTTGTCTCTGTCTTTTTCTGCTGACTCTTTTGGGTAGGTTTCCCCAAGCAGTCTTCCATCAGAACATGCCAGCTCCGAGATGTGTTTTTGTTCAAGTGGAAGGGGCTGTCAGGATTGCCTATTCCAAACTGAAAACAAAAGAACTGCTCTCTAACTTAGCCGAAAACGTGATCCCCCCTACCAGCCACCCCTAGAGGGCAACACAGGCTGCAAACAGGAGCTTGTACCTTGTGGGTCCCCAGAGAGGGAAATTGAAATCCACCGCAAGACCCTGGCGTTCCGTTCCCCTCGGCCGTTTTCCTGCAAAGTGGAACAGGGCTCCTTAAAAGAAATTCATGTTGCGACCATTTGAAACATGGCCTTTTCAACACCGAAATAAAGGGAAGCCGCCATTTACAAGGCAATGTGCAGGTGTATAATGTAAGGATCCGTTCTGCGAAACTGAGGCATCTCCACTTTGCCCAGCATCGGCTACCTCCCTGGGATGGCGGCAGAGCATGCGCAAACGCATCTCACCATGTAGTCATCTGGTTCAGGGCCGTCACGCAGCGAAAATAGCCTCAGTTATCCAAAGTACACGTCAGGATACCCAAAGCTTAACCTCTTATTTCCTTTTCGTCTGGTCATCAAATGGCACAATTCCCTTGTGGGTGTAGGGGATGACCAAGCCAATGGGGGGGAGTTGTGCCACAACTGTAAGGACAATCATAGGCGAGTGTTGGTCATGTCCATGCCAAGCCCCTTGCGAGTCGGCTCTGAAATGTAGACTTGGTCAATGCCTTCAACTTGCTTGGACCTTGCTGGGAAGAAAAGGTGCTCAGCGAGCGGGGTTGGGCCGTTGTTGTTTAAACGTTGCCAGCCTTTGGTCCCTCTTAAGGGAGGCCAACAGGAGATGGTTTAGATGGGTGCCCCCAAATAGTGGTGTTCCCTTTGGTTTCCTTTGAAAACCACCCCAAGAAAAGCCAAATAGGTTTTGTAGCATGTTTAGACGACCCCTTTCATCAGGAGCAGACACCTCCACTGGACGAAATCCATTTCGCACCACCTTATAAAACACCTTGGTGTCTGATCATTCCCCTGCAAACATGAAATAGTGTTTCCCCAACGTAAATACCAACAAACAACGGTTTCAAGCATGGTTTCATAGGTGGTGCAGGATTTCGTATACTCACGGCAATTCAACCCACCCACCCACCCAAGCCCCGCAACCCACAGGGAGAACACTTGCTGTTTCTCGATAATGTCTACTTCGTGAATCCGGAGGAGCATAGAAAGAACGGGGTGGTTCCTCTTTTAGTGGGGGATTATGGCATAGAACATTCCTCAGAAGAGCAAGCCGCCATTAGGGAATAGGGCCACCATCCAACTGGAAGCTTTCCTTCCGGGATTCCGAGATCCCAAATGGCTCCCAAAGCCCCGAAAATGAAGCCCGACTGACCAGCAAAAATGAAGAGGGGCCGCAAAACTGGGCTGTTCAAAGTCAATGTCGAGGCTCCTCCTTCGGAAGTGGCTTCTGAAGCTTCTTCTCGATTGGTTGTGCTTCAGGGACTCCCAAAGGGAAACCGGGGGTTTCATGCAGGTTCTCACCTGCCCAAAGCAAATCGACCTTTTTGACCTGGTTTCCCTGATGTGGCAACCATTTTTCGGCCACCCCAAAGGTGACCTGGAATTTCTGGGTCCTTTGGGCCAGTGAGTATTGTGCTATTTCAGCTTGGTGGTGTCCAGCGCCATCCTGTTGGGTTTTTCTTTTAGCATTTTAGCGTTGAGTGGGGTTGTCCAAGTTTAACCCACTGGAAGTTCAACTTTTAGCAGATCTGAGGACAGCCTAGCTAAGAACAGCCTGCGGTGGCCCTGTCCAATTTCAGAATCCAACAAAAACCTGGCGGTGCTTTGCTGGAATTTTCCGCGCGCCAGGGCGTCAGAGGCGTCCCCGCAGAGGCGGAACCAGAGCGGGAGGACGCTGCTTGACCCTACAGTGGCCATCCCTGCTACCCTTAAGGTGGTAGACTTCTCCTGCTGGAAGCATTATTGCAATTCTTGAGGGGTGGTTCTTAGGAATTTAGACTTCTCCTGGAAATGTGGTTGAAATTCTTGGACTTGTTCTGTTGGCGTCCTTGAAAACGACAAGGGCAGGTGTCTTCAATCCATTGCGCTTAGCGCCTTTTGATCCCGAGAGGCGCGTTCCACTCATCTTCCAACCAGAATTCGCTCCCCAGAATTAGCTTTTTCGCTTTTTTGGGGTTCCCTTTGTTTTCCACTAACCAGGCAAAAAAGATATTTTTTGCTGGGGTCCTCAGTCCAGCCTAGTCATGAGAAGGGTTCATTCAGGGGCTCTCCTCAACGAGGCCTCCCCCGAGAGCGCACCCTCAAAACGATGTGACACGCCCGACTCGCCGGCGGACTTCTCCCCGCAGGATGGCGCACAGCCGGCCTGGCCAAGTGCAACGCAGGTCTGCAGTGGGCTTGGGGAAGCTTCGGGAGTTTATTTCCACCTGTCGGATTGAAATGGAATTGATTTTACTAATTACTGGAGATATTTTTTTCAGGGGACTTAAGCAAATGGAGGCATGGGGGCAGTTGGTTTCTCAGAAGCCCAGTTGCAACCGGTGGGTTGCTGCCTCTCTTTTTTTTGAGGGGGGGGAGGAAGGACGTCCCTTTAAAGTCAACCAACAAAAAAAAGGTTGCCTTTTTGTCCATGGCCACTGGGCATCTGAGGAAGGGATCCATTCCAGCGTTGCCTCTTTTGGTGTCCCTGGAGAGTAGAAACCCCGGATGAAGTGAAACTTCCTTATTTGTTTTGAGTGGGGGGTGTCCGCTTTTGGTAGGATTCATCACTTTTGGGGCCAAAAACCCGTCACGAGTGAATTGGACGGGTTGATTCGTCCAGGGTCAACATTGGTTGGGGGGAGTTGGTGCTTCTCAAACGTTTTTCACCAATTCCTGCACGTGGGTCCACCATTTTGAGACGCTACCATGTGGAGCTTCCCTTTGCTAGAGCAGAGCGCCATTTTTTGGTTGAGGCTCGGGTTCCGAGTTTTGGGGGGGTGGTTAAAGGCATGCTCAAAGGAAAGCCTCGCCCGTTTGGGTCGCTGGTTCCCAGAGTCCAGCCTGAACGGATTCCCCACCGAGACCAAGTGACTTGGAGAATCGATGATCTAGGCCAGCAACCGTGCGTTGGCATGGTGGAATCCCTAAAAAGGTAGGCACAGGGGGGGGGGGGGTGAGCAGTTGAGAGTCCTCGCGTTCCTGGCGGGTTGCTAGGTTTTTTTTGGAGAACCCCCCATCCCCCCATGTTCCACTGTGGATGGACGAAATCCTGGATCACCGGAATGATCTGATTCCCCAACGTAAATACCAGCAAACTTTATGGTGTCCTTCCATTTTCTTAAGGAAAAAAAAAACTGTTGGTGTTAAAGGGAATCTATCACTACTGGAAATATTATTTGTTTTTCCCAGGGGACGAAAAAGCAAATGGAGGGTTTCCCATAGTTTCTGAACGTGGTGCGGTGTGTGGATGTCACTCTGAACCGCTCACAGGAGCTTCCATCGCTCGCCTGGCCAAGTGCCGAGGCACAGCGGACCCTCCGCGGTTTCACCTCGCGGGTGGAGAAGTGCCGTGTGCCGTTCACTTCCCGAGTTGCGTTCGGACTTTAGTCACTATTGGGGGTTGGAACATTTTTGTGATTAATGAGAGAGAGAGAGAGAGAGAGTTTGTTGGATGTTCCCAGAGTTCAGAAGTTCCATATGCCTTTCAACTCACTTCTGGAAAACGTGGCTCCCTCCAATTTAGGGGATCCTCAAAAATGGGCAGCCCGTGGGTCGCGCTTTCAACTCACTTCCCGAGTTCCGCTCGGACTTTCGTCACTTTTGGGAATTTTGGGTTGCTTTGGTAAACAAAAGTTTGTTTTTTTTTGGGCTAATCCACGCAGGAAGTGAGTCAAAGAACATCACTTGGCCTTTTGGCAGAGGATCGCCCTAGCTGGCTGATTTAGGAACGGAACCCTTGGCGTCGTGGGGCAGTGCCCGTTGGTATGTGCAGGGGGAATCAGCATTCCAGGTTTCTTAGGGCGTCCATCCACGGTATCATACTACAACCAGAACCTTCCGGATGAACCAAACACCCGGTTGATCTTCGGGGGGCCCCCGTCCCCCGGTGAGGCGTTCAGACCACCTGGTACCGGGCGATAGACCGGGGAACCGGAAGGTTTGTTTGCCATGTTGACCCTGGCGCCAAGTGGACCCCTCCAACACACCGAACTCACGAGGGAAGCGGAAGGCCACCTGATTGCTATTTGGTTAGAAATTTGGACCGCTTTCCATTTGCCCCTCAAGATCATCAAGTCTATAGATAAGGATGAGGGAGCTTCAAAAACAACTAAACCGCGAGGGAAGCTAAACCACTTGTCCAAAGCAAATCCACCTTTTGAATCCCTTTGACCAACAGCACCACGCCAGGCGCCCAACGAAAGCTTCGCCGAAGCCGAAGCATGGCCAAGCGAGAGCAAGGCGGGGCAGTCTGCCATGAGGATCTGAGTTGTTCAAATCGGATCCATCTTACACCTTTTGGTTTTCCCTTTCCACTTTCCACTTTAATGGAGTTGGATCTTGCCGTGAGGCTTCACCCCGAAAGGACCATATCTCTCAAAGTGAAGAAGGTGCAGCATAATGGAGTTGCCCAGTTTGGACCAACTAAAATGGGAACCCAAAAAGAGGAAACGAAACGGTAAAAGGGTCGACTAGCCTTGGGCAGGATCAATCTTTCTGCCTGTGGGTTTTGAGTGGTACCGATTCGGGCACGAGCGAAAGCTGCTTTTTGGGATCCGAATCTTATTTCTGGTTTCGGAATGGAAGCTGCAGATTCTTTTAGCATGTAACCCCATCGAAGCCCCTAAAAGTAGTTCGAGCCACCACCGCGGATTCATTGGTCACGTAGCCGGCCGGCTATTTGTTCTTGCTGTTGTAAGACCCCCCAAAAGGTGAGGTTTGAACCACAGAAAGGGGCAGACAAGTTGGAACATTCCATTCCCAGAAACCTTCGAGCATCAACGCCTCCTTAAATTTGTTGAATGGGAGGGGAGCCCTGGGGAAAGCTCGGATCCTCTCACAATGGAATTGGAGACCGCCCATCAATTGACCCCTCAAGCTAGTGCGGATGTTGATTCCAGGAACCAGTGACTTCAACTCTGAGGCAAAAGGTGTTTTTTTTGGGGGGAGGGGAGGGGGGGCAAACCCAAATGAAACCAGCAATCTTTAACTGGGCGCCGAATAGCCCAAAATTGGCTTTTCCCAAAAAAAACTAAAAATTATGTGGGTGTGTCTTTTTTTAGGGGACCCCCCAAAAGCAAAAAACAGAAACAGACTTCCTTTTGATCTCCCGTTGAAGCCACCAAAAAAGGGGGTACCCTAAGCAAACGACAGACCCATGTGCATGTTTTGTTTTTATTTCCCAGACCCTGTCGACACTTGATTTGTCTCGTAGATGGAACCCCCAAACTGGGCGACGTGCTACAAGAATCAGCTCAATTGCCCGAATCAACCTAAAATGACCTTTTCGTGTCCCCGTTTCTGTTTTTTCCCCATTTTTCGTGGGCCCAAAAGGGGAACCTTTGATTTCTGGGCCCGAACTGGGCAAGTGAGTCAGGACGTGAAAGCCACGAATGTTCTGGTTGGTTGGTTGGTACTTTCCCTTCAAAAGTTGCAGTTTACTGGGGTGTTCCAACCACCTTGCCACTTTTAGACCAACGAAGGGACATTTAGGCTCGCTTGGTTGGTTTCCTGGTTGCCTGATTGCTTGGTTGGTTGGTTCGTTGCCTGGCTGCTTGGTCATTGGTTGGTTGAATCTTCTTTGGGAGCGCTCCACCGTGCCAGGCGCAAGGCGGAAGTTCCTCATGGCCCAGCGAGAGGGAGACGGAGGCGCCGGGCTAAGCGAAGGGTGAGAGTTGCTTGAGTGACACCTGTTTTAGGTTGGTTCAAAGGGAAACCAAAACAAACAAGCACAAAAGCACATGATGTTTTGGTTGGTCGGTTGGTTGGTCGGTCGGTCGGTCGGTCGGTCGGTCGGTTGGTTGGTTGGTTGGGCTTTTGTAGAACCACCTCGGCTTGGAGGCCGCAGCCAATGAGCCAGCTAGGTTCATGCGCAAGTCTTCGGAATGTTGCGACATCCAGTTTGCACCTTAGAAAGCCTCGGAGGATTCCCCATGTAAGTACCAACCAGTTCCTATTGTTTCATTTCGTGATTCCAAACCGATTTCGTCCACTATGCCGAATGAAATCCAGTCCAGTGAGCCTATGGAGCTAGCTTTGGGGAGAAAGGTCTTGAGCAGCACAAGGAGATGGAAAAAGATTGTCCAGACCTTTCTTGTAATCAAACAGGTGTTTCACGCCTCTTTTCACATCTCGAGTAGAATTGGCCCATGTAGGTAGCAGCACCAGGAGCCCTTCCATGCAAGTTTATCAAGCTTGCTGCGAGCCAGTGGACAATGGATTTCCAAGGACGGAACATCCAAGACACATAGATACATCCTGTGACTCAGGCTGCGGTTGTCAAGGGGGAAATGACACCATACAACCATGTGTATGATGCCCAAACTGCGCTTGCATGTCCCTCACTGTGTTGATTTGTTTGCTCACCCGGCCAGTCGACTGGGTTCCAACACATGCTATCAGGGATCCATTCATGTTTTTGCTGTTCGGTGTTAGGATGTTCCTGCAAGGGGGAGGCATTTCGTCCCACTTATCCACTTCTCAGGAAAGGTGAAACTCCAGCATATTTTGCAGAGATTTGAATGGCCCTTCTGTACAAAAAGGCCAACTTCCTGTGACTCGCGGTCTTCACTGTGACTCAAACTGGGTGCTTGAAGGTAGCCTCCCCCAGACGATTCCATGGAAGCTCCCACCCGAACTGAGAAGACTTGGTTCCGTCTACAGATGCCTTTTGGGAGCTTCCATGATAATCTGAGTGAGCGTACCTCCAGGTTTTTGCACAGGAATGACAAAAACCCAATGCGGAGAGGGTGCAACCCACTTTACAGGCAGATCAGTCCCACGAAATCCGACGGGTTCTGTTTGCAAGGGGCATGAGCTCATGGCCGCCCCTCCTCTGAGAACCGTTGCTGGGGTTGAGGGGCTGCAGCCTTATGCCCCAGCGCAAAGCAAAAATAAAATCCCATCCCGATGGTTTTTGAAAATATCAAAAAAATCAAACTTAGTGGCTTCGACAAAAAGCCAACCCGCGCCTGTGAACACTTTGACGCTTTCCGGCCAGGGCTTCGAAGCGTGGGGCCCAAGCAAAGACGATGCCTTGCAGGCGCCGACGTCCGGTTCGTCCAGAGCAAACAGTGGGGAAAAAAGCGGCTGGTCACCAGCCATCCGGTTCCAAACGCATCCGGTTCCTTGGGTGTTTAGTGCCTTGTTGGTTGGCGAAAGGTGGTTGGGGTTGTCATGTATCCCACTAAAAGTTGGTCACTTGCAGGGGATCGGAAAACGGAGAGCCCAGCTAAGTGTTGAAGCATAGGCACTTGATCCCTAGGCGTCCTTTTCAGGTTATTCTGGTTAGAAATAGATGGCACTGGTTTAGATTGTTTGTTTTCCATTTGCCAGGGCCATCTATTTTGCCGCGAGGACACCTTTGGTGACATCTTCGTCCAACCCCCCATCCTTGTATTTGCTGACTTCCCCTTTTCTGTTTGCGCAGTGTCCACCAAAATGTCGCCAAAAACTTTACTTTGTCGGATGGCTAGCTGGTAAGACAAGCTTCATGAAAGATGTGGTCAATGCCCAAGCTGCTGCAAGGCAAAAGAAAGATGTGGTCTGCCACGCTGCGTGCCTTTGCGTACACAGTTCCGGGTTCTTGCGCAAGGACGGCCAAAGGAAAATCGAAAGATTCCGCCAATGCAAACAGAAGCCGTGGGTGCCTCCCAAGAAATTGGAGCCCTCAGCATGGCATCGGTTTTCATTTGGCTTCAGAAGCCCGACGTTTTGGACATCCTTCCGGCTGGCCGGTGCTAGCCGGTTTTGACTTCTGGGCGCTTGAGACAGTGAAAGGAGTTAGCATTGGCAAAAGCATTGGCAACGACCCCTGAGACATCCCGGAAGAAAAAGCTCCCACCGCGCAGAACGAGCTCCGTTCGCCGAAGGCCGCGAGCTCGGAAACTTGGCCGGAGCCTGTCGAGGAGGCCGAGGCCAAGGCCGAGAAATGGAAACATCCCAAGGGAGTCGACGCGGTGGGTTTTGACACGAAGTGTCTACATGCCCTGAAGTGCGTGTCTCATACCTACATGGCTGTGGGTCAAAACCAATGGAATCCCATTTTGGTTGGTAGGTGCACCACCCATTTAAGAACCTATTTTAATGGGGATTGGGATGTTCACTGGGGGTACGGGATTTTGACCCATGGCCATATGGCCTGAGGCGTCGCATCGAAAACGTTGGCCGTTTTATACTTTTGTCCCCGGATGCCCTTCGACATGAAAGTGATGTATGACTGTATGACGCACTTGCCCAAAGCGACCTTTTGGCCTTTTGCTTGTCCCAGCTTCTACTTTCAATCGGAGAAGCCCTGCAAAGTGACGAAGGCAGAAACCACCAACGGGAGACTCGTTCTTGGGGCCAGCTTTCTTGGCGTAAATCGCCCGATCATTGTTTAGTACCTTCATCAGGGGTACTTCGCGCCCAAGGATGAGCAACGCTCATTGGAAAAGAAAGTCGGTTTGACCCGAGCCATGGTGTCCCGCAATTTCACATGGAACCGCGAGAAAATGATTCAGGGCCATTCACCAGGAGAGTTCCCCAACGATCGCTCGGAGTCCAATTGCGGAAAAGATGCCGGGAAAATAAGACCAAAAACGGGATCCTTCCTGATCAGTTTCATACCCCGAAAAACTGGCATTTGAAGGGTTGGGGTCGATGTTTCAACAGTGCAGAGACCCCTCCCCGACCGCATTGGACGGGAGAAGAAAGCCCAAATGTCCGTTGATCCACTTTCCGACACCGACCATGTTGGGAAGGGATGGCTTATCTTAGCCCCTTTCAAGAAATGGTTTGTTATAAAATCCCATCCCGATGGTTTTTGAAAATATCAAAAAAATCAAACTTAGTGGCTTCGACAAAAAGCCAACCCGCGCCTGTGAACACTTTGACGCTTTCCGGCCAGGGCTTCGAAGCGTGGGGCCCAAGCAAAGACGATGCCTTGCAGGCGCCGACGTCCGGTTCGTCCAGAGCTAACAGTGGGGAAAAAAGCGGCTGGTCACCAGCCATCCGGTTCCAAACGCATCCGGTTCCTTGGGTGTTTAGTGCCTTGTTGGTTGGCGAAAGGTGGTTGGGGTTGTCATGTATCCCACTAAAAGTTGGTCACTTGCAGGGGATCGGAAAACGGAGAGCCCAGCTAAGTGTTGAAGCATAGGCACTTGATCCCTAGGCGTCCTTTTCAGGTTATTCTGGTTAGAAATAGATGGCACTGGTTTAGATTGTTTGTTTTCCATTTGCCAGGGCCATCTATTTTGCCGCGAGGACACCTTTGGTGACATCTTCGTCCAACCCCCCATCCTTGTATTTGCTGACTTCCCCTTTTCTGTTTGCGCAGTGTCCACCAAAATGTCGCCAAAAACTTTACTTTGTCGGATGGCTAGCTGGTAAGACAAGCTTCATGAAAGATGTGGTCAATGCCCAAGCTGCTGCAAGGCAAAAGAAAGATGTGGTCTGCCACGCTGCGTGCCTTTGCGTACACAGTTCCGGGTTCTTGCGCAAGGACGGCCAAAGGAAAATCGAAAGATTCCGCCAACACCCAAAGAGACAGCGCAAACAGAAGCCATGGGTGCCTCCCAAGAAATTGGAGCCCTCAGCATGGCATCGGTTTTCATTTGGCTTCAGAAGAGGATCCAATCCCCGACGTTTTGGACATCCTTCCGGCTAGCCGGTTTTGACTTCTGGAATGGCCCCCCCCCTGTTAGTATTGGCAAAAGTCTTGGCAACAGCTTTGGTTTTTTGAGAATTACGATCTTTTGTTGTCTTTGTTCAGAAGCGCCCAAAGCATTTCAGAGGGGCATTGTGGCCCAACGGCTTCACAAATCTGGCGTGTTTAACTAGAGGATATGAATCATGTGCCGACACTTCAGGCGGATGCTCTAAATCAGCTGCTACAGGTGGTTTGACCCAACCGCATCCTTTGCTCGCTCCTGAGTTCCTGGACTTGAGTCGCTTTTGGGTTTGGACCATGTTAGTGTTAAATGAAAGGTTTGGTTAAAACTATTTTTGCCAATCCACTTGACCGGAAGTGCGTTTTTGGGGTCCTGTCAAAAACACACAAATAAAAACCAAACTTGAAGCAAAAATAAGAAACGAACCCTGGGACATCCCCGAAGAAAACAAGCTCCCACCGCGCAGAACGAGCTCCGTTTGCAAAAGGCGGCCCCGAGCTCCGAAACTTGGCCGGACCCAGTCGAGGAGGCCAAGGAGGCCGAGGGGAAATGGAAACATCCCAAGTCGGCGCAGTCGGTTTCGAGCTGAAACGGGGAAACCCACTACTCGGGGAGGGGCCCTTTTTACGATTTGAGTTTCACGAAACACTGGTCAGAACCATGGTTCCATCTCGTGGTGCGTTTTACGGACTTCGCGAAACCATCCACAGCATGGGGGGGGGGTTCTCAAAATGTTGGACCTTCTTTGGGATTGGTATTTAAAGGGAAACCAAGGGCAGCCAACCACCTGAAAAGGGGTCCCTTCTGTTGAGAAGCACCCTTATGAGCTCCAATCAACGTACATGGCCTGAGGCGTCACATCGAAAAGAGGGGCCGTTTGATACTTTTGTCCTCCAGCTGCCCTTCGACATGAAAGTGATGTATGACTCACTTGCCCAATGCGACCTGTTGACCTTTGCTTGTCCCAGCTTCTACTTTCCAGCGGAGAAGCCCTGCAAAGTGACGAAGGCAGAAACCACCAACGGGAAACTCGTTCTTGGGGCCAGCTTTCTTTGGGTAAATCGCCCGATCATTGAAAATAAGACCAAAAAAGGGATCCTTCCTAATCAGTTTCATACCCCATCGGACAGGAGAAGAAAGCCCAAATGTCCGTTGATCCACTTTCCGACACCGACCACTCTAAACTGGATGGTGATTTTACCCCCTTTCAAGAAATGGTTTGTTATAACAACCCATCCCGATGGTTTTTGAAAATATCCAAAAACAAACCCAGTGGCTTCGACAAGAAGCCAACCCGCGCCTGTGAACACTTTGACGCTTTCCGGCCAGGGCTTCGAAGCCACGTGGGGCCCAAGCAAAGCAGACGATGCCTTGCAGGCGCCGACGGCACCGGAAAAAAAGAAGAAGAAAGAAAGCGGAAGCCAAACCCCCTTCGTCCAAAGCAAAAAGTGGGAAAAAGGTGGTTGGTTGTGTGGTTGGTCACCATCCGGTTCCAAATGCATCCGGTTCCTTTGGTGTGTAGTAGGTTTTTAGTTGGTGAAAGTTGGTTGGGGTTGTCATGTAGCCCACTTAAAGTTGGTCACTTGCAGGGGATCGGAAAACGGAGAGCCCAGCTAAGCTTTGAAGCATAGGCACTTGATCCATAGGCGTCCTTTTCAGGTTATTCTGGTTAGAAATGTGGTTAGAAATAGATGGCACTGGTTTAGATTATCGGTTTTCCATTCACCAGGGCAATTTGCCGCGAGGACACCTTTGGTGACATCTTCGTCCAACCCCCCATCCTTGTATTTGCTGACTTCCCTTTTCTGTTTGCGCAGTGTCCACCAAAATGTCACCAAACACGTCACTTTGTCGGATGGCTAGCTGGTAAGACAAGCTTCATGAAAGATACGGTCAATGCCCAAGCTGCTGCAAGGCAAAAGAAGGATGTGGTCTGCCACTCTGCGCGGCTTTGCATACACAGTTCCGGGTTCTTGCGCAAGGACGGCCAAAGGAAAATCGAAAGATTCCATCAACGCCCAAAGAGACCCTAAAAAGCCGTAAGAGCAAGCAGAAGCCATGGGTGCCTCCCAAGAAATTGAAGCCCTCAATGTGGCATCGGTTTCCATTTGGCTTCAACAGAGGATCCAATCCCCGACGTTTTGGACATCCTTCCGGCTAGCCGGTTTTGAAGTCTGGAATGGTAGCCCTTGAGACAGTGAAAGGAGTTAGCATTGGCAAAAGCATTGGCAATAGCAATGGTAATTTAGAATTCAGGTGTTTCGTTGTCTTTGTTCAGAGGGGGTTTTGGGAAGCGCCCAAAACATGTCAGAGCGGTATTGTGGCCCAACGGCTGGACAAATCGGGCGTCTTTAACAAGAGGTTATTCATCATGTGCCGACCTCACATCCTTAACGCGGATCCTCTAAGCCAGCTGCTAACCCAAATGCATCCTGTACTCGCTCCCTGAGTTCCTGGACTTGAGTCAGACTTGAAACTTTTTGGCTTTGGGCAAGCTTTTTTGGCCGAACGTGGATCGCAAGTGCGTTTCTTTTTGGATTATTCAAAAAGTCCCACGCAGAACGAGCTCCGCTCGCCAGGCCGCGAGCTCCGAAACTTGGCCGGACCCGGCCCAGGAGGCCGAGGAGGCCGGGGACTGGAAACATCCCAAGCGAGTCGACCCGCTCGGTTTCAAGCGAAAGCCGGATGAAACCCTATTTGTATGGGACAAATTTGGGACAAATCCCCAATCAATAGGATCTGGCCCAAACCCAAAGGAATGATGGACGACTCCCCCAACGCTAAATTTCACGAAACACTGCAGCAAGGGGGGGTTCTCACAATGTTGGACCTTCTGATTAGTGTTTAAAGGGAAACCAAAGGCAGCCAACCACCTGAAAAGGGGTCCCTTTTTTCGAGAAACACCCTTGTTTGCTCTAATCAATGAATATGGCCTGAGGCGTTGCATCGAAATCGTTGGCCGTTTTATACTTTTGTCCCCCGCCTTCATCAGGGGTACTTCGCGCCCAAGGATGAGCAACACCTACTGGAGAAGAAAGTCGGTTTCCGCGACCATATTGTCCCGCAATGTCACATGGAACCGTGAGAAAGTGCTTCACCGTTCACCAGGAGAGTTCCTCAACGATTGCTCGGACTCCAATTAAGGAAAAGATGCTTCATACCCCGCATGGTTAGAGGGCCTGTTGGGACCTGTTGGGGGCCCCCCCTCTTTTGGGTTCAGTATCAACTTGCGGCGAGTTTTCGGGCACAAACCCCCTTAAGGTCTTATTTCGAGGAAACAGAATTTCGGGGAGGCCGGGGGCCTTCCCGTCGCCACCATTGTTCACGTCGGGGGCGCATCGATTTGGGCTCATGATGCAGCTCATTTACTTTCTGGGATTGCAGGGACCTTGCAACACCTCAAGACTTTGCAAGGGTCAATGCTTACAGACGCGGCATTAAAGGACAGACTTGCGGGCAAATAGCGTCTTGGAAGCGCCCACCTAGTTCTATCAATGGATCCAAATTGAGCTTGGCACGTTTTCCAGCTGCTTCTCGAACATACCCGTGTTGGTGCTGTTTTCGAAGCAACAGTAGATGAAACCGCACATTTTGGGGGGTTCAACTCATTTTTAGGCACACCCATATTGCGTTTGTTTCTGGGGTACTGCAAGACATGGGTTTTTTTCTTGGTTTCCCTTTTAAGCCAAGCCATTCACCAAACACCCGGCGTTCCGATTCGGTCGGTTGCTCCTTGGAGGGCGCCCAGCAATTCGAAGAAGTTCCCGAGGCGAAACCGAATCGCGCGATTCGTGCGATGCGACGCTTCCCCAGGGTTGTGGGATCACTCGGGGTGTATCCAACCACTTCTGTGATACAAGGGAATCCACGTCTTCCTTTATATTAACAAAGTAGTCTTTGGGAAGCCCTTTCTGTTGTACCTCAGAAGTGGTCATTCCCCACAGCCCTGCGCTTCCCGGTTTCAGGAGGTCCTTTTTCAGGAGTGATTGAAAGACTGCCTGGTGCTGGACAAGTTCCTTTAAGTTGATTCCCTGAATTGTGTTGTTTTTTCTTTCTTTTTTATGCTTGGTTAACAAGTTCCTTAACGGAAATTTTCTGAATCAACTTCTCATGTTTGGTTTGGGTGACTGTGCTACCTACTCCTGATGGTGAGTGGGAGCCTGCCAATTGCTTACGACTAAACCGGGGTGCTGCGACTGGGTGTGAACCACATGCCAAGTACGCTCCTGTCCACTGATCAGATGGTCTCTTTACCTCGGTTAGGTTCCATGTTAGTGGACGGGAGTGTATTTATCCTGATTTCCACTGCCCAAGCCACTACCACCAGCAGGGTTAAATGAAAGATACATCACTACACTCACTACACAAAGGTTATACAGGCCACCTCCCCAATGCTTGTGGGTAGTGGAAACCATCTTCCAATTGGATGGATGGTGGGTTGTTTTATGAAGGAGAGATGGGCATGTTCAAAAACACCGCGAAAAAGGATATTCCTCAAAAGTGTGGCTAGCAGACCGTGAAGGCTTTTAATTGTTCCTTGGGTTTCCGATTTTGAGAACTATACAACGTATGCAAGTCACGTGCATGGGTGCTACTTCAAAGCCCTTGACAAAAGCGTCATGGTGACCTTGGAAGCTCAGAAGTGCACGAAGCTCAGAAGCCATGCCCGAGGTTTCGTGACTGAGTGGCCTGAAACCGGGGAGGAGGTCATGGCTCGGGGTTTAGGGCCGATGCCTGCGGGGCGCAGAGCAGGAGAAGTATCTACATGCCCTGAGGTGCGTGTCTCATACATGGCTGTGGTTGTCAAAACCTATGGGATCCCATTTTGGGGTAGGTGCACCACCCATATTAGTCTACTGGGGGTACGGGATTTTGACCCATGGCCACATAGTTTCCGCATATGCCCCTTGCCTGTGTGCACAGTATGTTATTTGTTTGGCTTACATTGCATTGCAAGAAAAACAACAGAGCCTCCATGACGGAGGTATAGGTGTCCTTTTCAGGTTGGTTTCGAGACCAATAAATGGAACTGGTTTAGCCTGGCTAAATTCCATCTATCAGGGTCATTTCTTATTATCTCAAAAGGGTTATTTATGGACACAGGTATACATGGGTGTGGGTCAAAATTAACCCACCAGGACACCGCAGGTTGCAGTCCATGTTTCCATTTACCTCGGCAACCCAGTTTGGGTACATATTTTTGACTCGCAGCCACACCTGGAAGGAAGTGGGTGCCATCTAAGACGCGTCAGGTTTGCGTGGCTTGCGCCCGTGACGCCGCTGCGGCTCCGCTGACGGAAGAGGCTGCACCGCTGCGCGCATTTGTCGCAGACTTGCAGATTTGCTCCCAAGGGCGTTAAATAAAGTCCAATGGCTTGTTCGTATAAACTCACAACGCCCATTGCGATTAATACAAGCACAGAAACCCATGGAAAAACATGCAAAAGCATTGTCCCTAACGTCGGGGACCCCATTTTGGTTGGTGGTTTGGATTGGCCTGCGGTTTTGAACCCCTGGCTCTAGCGGGCAAATGGGGAACCACCCCTAGCCAGGGCAGCTGACTTTTGGGGTGCCTGCTTCAAATCCAAACAGAAGCGAGGCCACCGATTCTAGGGATTTCCAACGACAACTTAGTTTCGTAAACCTAGGGGTCAGCTATGCAGCTCCTTCTGACTCGCACCTTTAAAGGATACTCCCATGTACGGCTTGTCCTTAAGCCAAGCCATTCCTCAAGCGTTCCCCCAGTGCCCTGGGGTGCCTTCGAAGGCGCTCCTGGCTGCAACCCAGCGGTGCGAAGTGAAGTTTCCGAACTTGGGGCGAGTCCGATCACACCTGGGGTTCCCAAGAACCCACAAATGCAGGGAAAACCCACCAGCCAGCAAGCCGCCCAAAAACGAAGGAAATGGGTTCTGTCGAACACAAGGACAGAAAACCATGGGGAAACTATAGGGAGGGGCCGTCATTTTTCGAGTTGCTACCTTCTTGATGCGGTGAAGGGCAAAGAACCTAATCATTGTGCGGGTTTCCTCAACAAGACAAACTCGTATCCTTGGTGGTTCCCAGGCATACGGTTCCTTTGGTTTTTAGTGTTTGTTCGTTGTTTAAGTCGTCGGGTTTCCCCATCTAGCCCACAGAGAGTTAGTCACTTTTAGCAGGGGTCAAAAAAAAGGACAGCCCGGAACTAGGAAAGTTTGCCTCCAAACCACCGCCCAACATTGGCCTTTTCTTTGCCTACCTTCGGGCATGGTAGGCCACCACAGAATATGTTCGGGAAGCCAGCATGTTCTTGGTGAATAACAAGTGTGGTTTTGCATTTTCGGGGCAATCCACTCAAGCAAGGAGCCCATTTTGCGATGTTGCGGGGTTCCTCAAGCAGGCAATGTTTTGGCAATGCGGGGTTCCTCCACAGCTGCATCCGATTTGCTCTTTCCATCAGAGCAGGTTGGAACGTTCCATTTCCAAGCCACGGCTTTGCTTCTCTCAACTCCTGCCAGGGGCCCTACCTGCGTGGCGGCTTCGCCTCCGAAAGCTACGAGGCGTGGCATCCACGTATCGTCTGGCCGTCTGGCCGCCGGGTGACCGGGGGACGCCCACGGTTTTCCCCCCCACATGTTTGGGGGGAAGCACCGGTGCCCTTGAAACAGCCACTGGACTACCTCGAGCCAAGAGTGGCTGGTGGGGTCCCTTGAAACTGCACGGCTGTTTTGGGGAGGCTCCGAAAAGGGAAGTGGAGGAAGCCCGGCGAGAATCAGCCAAAGAAAGGGTGCCGAGTCTTTTCTCCCACTACCCCCAGCTTTTGCTTCAACTTCAAAGAGTTGAACGTATGAGGCTAATCAACCATGATCAGCCTGGATTGTGTGTCCCGTGTTTTCATTCGGTTCAACTTTGAAAAGCGAGGCTCTTAGCAGGGCCCCCCAAAGAAGGCTACGGCCCCAAAAGATGATCACCTTTTGTTTCTGGCTCCTTTGGGCTATCCCACGTGGATTTCGCGAGACGCGGATCTCGCGAGACCCTAGACGAGGTAAGGAAGGACATCCAGAAATTGAGACGGGCTCACAACATGTAACATATCCCCAAAAGCCACTTGCACTTGCTTGCGAGTTGATTCGGGTCCTCTGAATGAGCTGGTCAAAATGAGTCTTTACTCACTAGGCCACCTAGCAACTACAGGATTTGGTCCAAGCCCAACGGAATCCTGGCGATTTCCCCTGCAAATCCGAGCAAACTTTATGGCTTCATTTCCATCGTGTCATGTTGCGACACCAGTGGCATGGATTTCGCAACCATCCACTGTATGTTCCCCGCATGTACTCAGTGGCTTTGCGAGTACACCTTTCGGAAAGGCCGCAAGGTTGTTGATGTTTCAAACCATCGAAATGCAGGGAGCGGTTGGCCAACTTGAGAGCTCGCTTTTGATGTTTTCCTTTCTGGCTATTTGGGAACGGGTATTCGGACTTTAACTTTCTCAAGAATCATGGACTGTCCATTGCACCCGCCAAACTTGTTCTCACTTTTGCAGAGGGGGCGTCACAGCTTTCGCCTTGTTTTTCCGCTTTGGGACGCCGGGGTTCGGCTGGAGGTGGCCCCTTTCTGGGCGCCGCGTGAGGAGCCACTGCTTTCAGGAGACGAGCCGGAAAGATGCGAGGCCCGGTGAGCAGAGTTGGGTCCAGCTGGTTGGATTCCACCCGCTTTGCTTTGCGCAAAGCTCGGAAGGAAATCAAAAAATCGGTTAATTCGGTTCAAGTATGCTGCTTCTGCAAGTGGGCTGAAAGGCTGGAGGCTGGCACGGACACCCAGCAGTGTACAGGCTTCCACACTTTTGGTACCCGGTTTTGGAGTCATCATTTAGATTCCAGCATGGGTTCTTTCTGTTGTGGGCTCCCCACTCAAAGACCCCCCCCCCCCAACAGTGTGTTCTTTCTTCCCTCGTTGCCACCTAGGTCGATGCCACCCCTTGGCCAACCTTGCTGAGCCTAGTTGATTTTATGCGAGCACCAATTTTAGCAAACCGAAAAGGGAGGTGACCAATCTTGCTGGATCTTGCTGGTGCTCAGCTGAGAATGAGGGAATCAATGACCCTTATAAACCATCCCTTGCGGTTCCTTGAGGGGACCCCTGGGTTCATTCCCACATTCCGTCTCAAACCAGCAAGCCCTTCCCGCAAGTGTTCACTCACTCTGTGCGCGTACCTGGTTTGCACCCGAAAGGAGGGAAGTGAGTGGCAAGATTTGCCCAGGGCCTGCTGCCTAGCCCGCGCAGCGCTGAAGAGGCGCTGGATAAGTTGGGTGCGTCGAAGAGCTTGCTTGCTAGTCCTTGATTCCCCACCTTCCCCCCCCCCCCGCAAATGAACATGGCACCCAAGGAGCCGTTTCCTATGTTGAGCACGCTCAGGTCTTTCTATTTTCCAGGGACACCATCGTCTTGATTGTTCCGTTTGCCTCGGTAGTCCAAAGAAAGAAATCCTGCTGAAGCCGAGTTCCGCGAGGCGCAGCGACAGGTGTGTTCCTGTTTCCCTCCGTTTGGGTTCCCTTGTTTGACGGCGCCGTGCGTTTCAAAGCCAAAGGGTTCCCTGATCTCCTTGGAAAGGAGGGGGGTCGTTCAAAACCTGCACCCAACACAAAGAATGCCGGTTTTTCCCCATGGCTACGGAGGGCCTTGCGGTCTTTGGAGGCGGGGGGTCCCATGAAAATCACGCACTGGTGAACCCAGGCGTCAAGCGCAAGCCGCGGAACCCTTCCGGGGCCCGTTTGAGCGGCGACCCTTCGGGTTTGAGCAGCCCCTTTTCCCCATGAAAATCCAAAAATCCACGGATGTCACCGGACCTTGGCGGCCAATTCCAATGTTCTGCTCAAAAAACAGCACCGGTGATGTCTGGCTCTGGCTTTCTGCTTGCTTGGGCCTCCACCTGATTTCTTAAAGGACTCAAGAGCTGGAGGAGTGGGCGCTTTCCGTCCAAGCAAACAGCGGGAGGAGTCGAGGCCTCTTCCGCAACCGATTCCTCTTGTGCAAGAGGTTCGAAACCATTCAACCACTCCCCCGTTCCAGAATGGACCAGTACTTGCATGCTACACCTGCCCTGGGGACACTGCAGCAGTGGAAGTCTTCTAAGCAGAACATGGTTCCCTTCTTTTCTTTAAGGGGGACCTCCCGCCCCAAAAAGAAGAAGAGAAACAACAACAACAACAAAAAGCAACAAAGTGATTTTCTTTTTGGTGTCCCTTTAAAGCTGCCCCAACCAGTGTGCCGAAACCAGGCGGATTGCGCAGGCAGCGCCCGGGACGCCGAGTACCTGCCCAGCCCAGAGGCAGATGGGCCCACGGCTCGGAATCGGACCCTCCATTTGTTTCAGAATATTTTTTGATTTTCCCCTGTTGGTTTTAAAGGAATCGATCACTACTGGAAATATTTGTTATTTTCCCCAGGGGGCCAAAGACAGTGGAAGAATGGAGTTCGGCAGTCCTTTTGCTTTCCTATTTCATCCAACGTGAAAAGGGCGCATCCTCAGAAACACAACCTCAAACATACACACAGGGAGAGAGAGAGACACACACAGAGAGAGAGAGACACACACACACACACTGGGACACACACCGTAGCCATTTTGGCTCAAGCCGCGATTCGCGATCCCTCAAAAACAAAAAAAGAGCACTTTGACGGACCAGCCGACAGGATGCCCCCAGGCGCGCACAGCCTTGATGCCCAGGCCAAGCGTGACGCCGAGGATGCGGCAAAAAAAGCACCATCCGCGAAGGCAAATCCAAAGACGGCACCAAAATCGAAAGCGCCTGCAGTGATCGTCAAAGCCAGCGCCCGGCCGCCGCCTGGGCTCCACATGCCGGATGTGGATGACGACACGCGCACCCAGGCGCCTGGGTCACCCAAGGCTAAACCACAGAAGTCGCCCCCGGCCTCAGAACCCTCCACTGCCAATTTCGGCGAGTTTAGCTGTGATCTGAGGGCAGCTGGGTACGCCATGTTCGCCTGCATATATCTGAACGGCCAGACTGTCCTCAGCATCGATAGCAACCAGCTTGCGGTTAATCACCTGCTTGGCAATGCGCCGGGCAAGGTGTTGAAGATGAACCTCAACCAACCAGATGCTGCACGGCACATCCATCAAAGCTGCCCTCCTGGAGCCCCCACTGCTTTGATGGGTTTCCCATGCCAACCATACTCGTCGCAAGGCCAGAAGCTTGGACTTCTTGACCCAAGGTCATTCACTATGTGGAGCGGATTGCACGTGGTTTTCATGCTTCAGTGTCAAGCCGCAATCCTTGAATGTGTGACCTCTGCTGGTAAGCATCGCGAAGTTCAAGCCGCACTACATCAGCTTGCCACAGCCATGCACTGGGAGATCCAACAAGTTGAGCTCGACCTGGCCGACAGGTGGCCTTGCAGGCGACTTCGATGGTGGGCTCTTTTGATGCCAAAGCCCTGGATATCCAATGGCATCAAGCCCTGGCCTAGCTGCTCCAGGTTCAGGAAGGTAGGCGATCTCTTTAGCTACTGGCCGTCTTGGGATGATGAGGACGAGCTCTACCTCACGGACGATGAGATCGCCATGTACTCGAACCCAGCCCTGGGTAAGGACAAGCGACTCCTGGACCTCACGGATGTGGCCAACACCATTCTCCACTCCTATGCGAACGGCACCATGGGATGCCCCTGTCTATGCAGACTCCAAGGCTTTTCCCCCCTTAGCCTTCAGCGCAAAGGACTTCGCGGTTTCTACATCAGCACGGGCCGGTCTGATCGTCCACGATACCTTCATCATCGAGAAGCCGCTCTTCTTCTTGGGGTACCGGAGGAGGCTTGCTACCACCACCCGCCCAGGGCAAATCTTTGCCTACTTGGGCAAATTGCCTCACCGATGCAGATGGTATGGGTGTATGCCTCGTTCTTGGAGAACTGCGCGGAATCCATCGGGCACCAGCCGAAGTTGAGCCCCGAGCATGCGGTCCAATTGTTCCAGGAGGATCTGGTGCGACAATGGTTGAACAATCACCCGCCTCCTGGTCCACTTCGGATTAAGATTTGCGACAAGACGCATGGGGACCTCCACTCCAACTGCACCACCAAGCCTACGGCGATTCAGGTCCTCCATGCAGAACGCATCAATGCGGGTTGGGGCACCAAGACTCAGGTCAGTCGGCTCATTGATGAGGAGTCACCCAGGTCATTCGAGGCCGGGTCCTTCACGCTGATTTCTAGTCGGAAGCGTCAACGACGTGAGCCACCCACCCAGGCCATCAATCTCCGACTGGTTCACGCAGGCCAAGGAGCTGACGTTTCCGTTCTACCAGGCCAGTTCATCTTTGAGGCCCTCCGCCAAATTGGTGTCCATTCAGCCAACTTCGTGATGGACCAACAGGGCATCATCCATGGTGTGGACTCACGTATCTGGCACAACTCCTGCTTCTACACCATGGTGAAAGGTAGCTTCGGTGCCCCAAAGTCCCTGCTGTCAGCAGAGGGCCCTTATGCTTCTTCCAACCAAGGTCTCAACGAGATTACTATCTGGAACCACAGCGTCCACCTCCTCAGCCACCTTCCTGCGGATGAAGCTCAACATCATGTGCTCATTTATCCATGCCACCTGGACACCCCCCTCATGCACTACCAGCATTTCGGAAATCCCGAGTCGGATGTCAGCCACGTTTACTGCATCTTCACTGCCAAAAACCACTGGGCGCTACTGGCAGGTCTTCGACAAGGGGCCGGCATCTCGTGGATCTACATGGATGGTTTGGGCGACAGGATCATCTCCGAAGCCTACTACATGGCATCGGTTATCACAGATGCGATCGGCCTCACCTTGGTCCACTTCGAGGACAACTGCCTCATCAAGCAGAACCATCCCTGGACCTGTGGTACCATTGCCATCCTGCACTTGGGCACCTTCGTCGGCCTCTCTGGAATGGCCACTGATAGTCAGATCCTGGCAGCACACAATTGGCTGCATGGGCACCAAGCACCTCATGGGCTTCATTATGGTCATGGTCCACCAGCCGGCCCGGTAATCGACCAATTGGCTGCTCTCCTGTGCGAAAAAGGGGTCCCAGCACACCTTTCAGGCGAGCGAGCTCAACAGGCCGTCACCAGAATCGGCCGACAACCAGTGCAGCAATGGCCAAGAATGCTTGGGCTGAGATCAAAAACGCGGCAAGTGCTCCAAAGACCATGATGCGGCTCGTCACACCAGCCGAGCTCACCGAGCACACCAAAGTCCGGATGCGCTCAGATTTCGGGGCAGACGCTGCCATCAACAAGAAGAAGAAACTTCGCAAAGACCGAGGCAACGATCAACCGATCCTCAAGGTCGACCCGGAGACCCTCGAGCTCTACGATGACATCTTCGTCGATCAAAACAAGGTCCCGGTCTTCCAGATACACCTCTCGGCAGTGACAGCCGATCAAAGGGGTATCGCCATCTGCACGGCAGCTCAAGCCTTGCCATATATCCAGATGGGAAAGCACCTGAGTACTGAAGCGCTCGGTCTCCTTCTTGCAGACCTCCCGGACGCCCAGACGATGGAGACTTTCAGCATCCAGCCCATGAGCGTTCCGGTCCGCTACAAAGGCACAGGTGAGCCTATCCTGCTCATGGGCGGCTTCTACCAGCTCGGCGACATCCAGATCTGCCGCAAAGAATTCTCCATGATGCCAGATCCCGAAGTGGTCAGTACCCAAGTCCTTCGTGTCCAAGTTTTCCGGGAACTCTATGATGAGTGGGAGTCTTTCATCCAATCCCCCTTCCGGGACTTGCTGCAACGGACACCACCTCTTCGCCTATGCCCAGACAAGGACTGCCTCAATGCATCCTACGCGAATTGCCAGTACTCCCATCCTGCTATCGATGAATCCTTCGACCAGGCCGTGATGGAGATATGGGCACGCAACTTTCTGACCGCAGATGGGAAAAAGGTTGGCGCCGACACTGCGGCCTCCTTCGTTGCCTTCATCAGAGTCCCCGGATCTACAGTCAAATCCATCCTACAGACACAGCCAAAGGGTGCATTCTTTGAACCTCGCCTTGAATCTCGTCAGGGGCCTGATCCTGCCTACAAAGTTGTTTGGCTTCCAGGCCTGGACTTTGATGCAGCTCTTCTTCAATCCAAGACCTTCCCTAGAAGTCTTTGCCTTATGAAGCTTCGTCAACGGTATGGTGTCCGGGTGCTGGCCAAGGACATTGCGGCTGCTTACAAAGTGCTGAGACCAGACACTGTGTACTGTGACATCGACATCAGTCGAATCTTCCGGCTATTTCCTTTGCCGCACGGCACACAGAAGGCGGCGATCTCCCAACTCCTGCAGGAATGGGAATGGAACGCACGTCCTCTTCAAGCAGGACGCGGCAATCATGACGCCATGGCATGGACCGTTGGATCGAGCACTGAGCCGGTTCGCTCTGTGATGCCTGGATTCAAGGGGGACATTCTGATCACGGAGATCAAGCAGGACCCCAAGAGCCAGGAACAGCACTCCATCATGGCATCCCGCAAGACTCAGCAGCACATTCGCCGAGTACATGCGCCAGAGGCACCCTCTTCTTCCTCGGACCCTTGGTTGGACCCAGGGCGGGATCCCTGGGGCGGCAAAAGCCTTAGGCAAGCACCACCAGGACTGCCACCACCCGGACAAACAGTCCAGCCCAACAAACGCTATGATGAGATCGCCGAGGAGCTTCGTGCGGAGGTTCAGTCCACTCTTCACAAGGAGGTTGAAGCTCTTCAGCAAGCTTCTGGTCCGAATGCCCCCGCCCAGCTCACCCAGCAGGCGAATGAGCGTAGGTTCGCGACCTTGGAGACCAACATCACGGAGCTCAAGTCCCAGAACGCCCAATTCGCCGAGTGGTTTGGTCAGATCGGCTCCAAGCAGACCCAGGTCGAGGCAGCTGTCACACAGTTGCAGCAGACTGCACAACAGCAGCAAACTGAACTCCATGGTCTCGGGCGCGATCTCAAATCCACACAAGAAGTCATGAAGCAGTCCTTCAACAGCATGCAGTCTGGCTTCAACTCCCGTTTCGACAACCTCGAGGCCATGCTCAGCAAGAGACTCCGGGTTGCCGAGATCACGGATGACCAGATGTGACTCGGACACCCCGGCTCTGGAATGCGGCGTTCCAGCAGGCCGGACCTCGATCTACGCCGCAACCCCTGTCTTCGTATTCGGATTTTCTTTGTCTTGTTGGTCCTTACCTTTATTCAGCCTACCTCGGCTCTGCCCCTTGCCCGGCTCTACCTGCACAGCACGGCAGATTCTGACCGTGAATTTGGGTCGGGGGCATCCAGAGATTTTGGC